TCATTCATAGTTATGCAGTAAGTGGTTTAGGGGGGTATGTTTAAGTGGGATTTAACTTAATCACCTGCACATGAGCTTAATCAACTAGTAACCCATCTTCCACTCTGGGGATCCTCCCCACCAGAAGAGGTGTCTAATCGACTGAGACCCCCCCCCCCCCACCCTAACACACACTTTTTGTGGCTTGTGTGTTTTGAAGTGTGTAGAAAATGAAAACAGTAAACAGCCTAATTTTGTAGCTATCACTGACTATGGTTGACATGTGTGAATATGTGTTTGTAAGTGACAGAAAAAAAACAACAAACAGCCTCATATCATCATTAGCATGAGTAGCCGTGATGATGTGAGTGGATATGTGTGTCCGTGCAAGACTGCGTGTGTATATGTGTGTACGAGAGACGTGGGTTGACAAAAATAAAAACCAATAAATAGCCTGGTTTTATTGTTCTTCTCATTAGCTGTAGGATTATTTCAAGATTAGGCAGGACAGGGCTGGACATCTATTTGACGTTAAGTCTTTCTCTAACAAGACGGATGCTCTACAGTCTGCGCAAATCTTCTCCTTTGAATTTTCCTACCTTGCACATACCCCTCCCTCCCTCTCCATCTCTCTCCCTCTCCTGTTCTGTCTTTATTTCTCTTCTGTTTCTCTCTCCCCTCCTCTCTTTCTTTTTCTTCGCACCTCCCTGAGTGACAGCTCAATACCCAGCTCTCCCAGGCTTATCTAGCCTCAGCAGATGGTTGACTTGGATCACTGTTCATACGCCACGATCTGGGCTGGTGATAAAGACTGTTACAGAGGGAATATAAACTATCTCTCTCTAGCTTGCTCTTTCTTCCTTTTACTTCTTCTCCTCTCACCTCCTATTGATCTACATTGTCGTTTTCTCCGTCTCCGTCTCTTTTCAACTGTTTTATTCAGCGGCTCTTTCCGTCTCTACCTGGACCTTTCTACCATTCTCCTTGCCACGTCCTCCACCTTTCTCAACAGCGCTCTTTGTCCCACCACCCACTCCCCCTCAATCTTCCCCTCTGTTTCTCCTCATCTCCCTCCATCCCTCCATCTCCGTGTATTGAATCTGGTGCTGCGTGATTGTCTCTGCTTCCCTGCTGGGCTGGCGCCTGTCTAAAGGGCCCCAGGACCCTCACACACTGAGGGGGCTCCAGCCATGCCAGAGATGCCCTCTCTTCCTCTCCTCTCCTCTCCTCTCTGGCTCCTATCACTTTATCTGGTCTCTCTTCATCTCCAAAGGGTAAAAGAAAAGGTCAAAAAGGGTCTTTTTCAGCTCTTTTCTGCTCAAGGTTACACGTGTTGTCTGCATCAATGTACATATTTGACATATGACTACCACTTTAATATGTTTCAAAACTGAAAATATATGCAAAACAACAATAAGTAAACAGGTAACCTTCAAAGTGCTGCTGCCTCAAGCTTTTCTCGACTCACATCTACTGTTTTCATGTGTTTCATTTACGTGATCACCGCATTTAAACAACTGATGTACACTTCACAGACTTGAATTGCGCATTTTATGTATACTTCACTTGTCTGGAGTGGTCATTTGATGTGCTCCTCACGATTGTTTTTTTTGTTTTTTTACTTCACTCTACACAGCCAAGCAACAAAGCAAAGCGAAAGGGTATAGCTGCCACTCGTAGATGAAAAAAGGGACTGAGTGCTGGGAGCGATATGAATGAGAACATACAACACATTACCTTGTATGGCAGCGGGGAAACAGACTGGCAAAGACATCACATGCACACACCATACATTAGATCAGCTCTGTGTGATGTGTGCCAGTGTAATATGAGAGGGAAAGGACATGAAAGGAGCCTGTGAGTTGGTTTCTTGTGAAAAATGTAAAGATAAAATGTTCAAATCTATCGTATAATAAGAGCAATGGTGCCAGCATGTGAACAAGAAGCTGCCATCCCATATGTGGTGGAAAACCTCCTTCCCTGCAATTCACTAGTCTCTCTCTCTCTCTCTCTCTCTCTCTCCAATACTCCAGACAGTTTGCAGCCATCTTAATCTGAACGGTGGAATCTGGCAACCACTCCGGAGCACCTGCATCCGTCCAGCCTGACCCGCTTTTGTTCTGGTCCGACCCCCTAACTTTAGCCCCTAATTAACCCAACAGAAACTAATTAAATACAGCTCTAGTGGACCAGACGCCAGACAAAAAAAAAAAAAAAAAAAAAAAAAAAAACGAAGAAGGAGGACACAGAGAAGTGAGCAGAGTGCGGGGAACGAGCCAAATGATAGGCAGTGAGTATAGGAGGGAGTAGAGGATGGCGGTCGGGGTGGGGGTGGGGGGTGGGTGGAGGATGGAGATCCAAAGCTTGGCCTCCAGCCCCTGAGACCAGTTCAGACAGACAGAAAGACAGAGAGAGAGATTCAAAGGAGGAGGGTATTTAGGTGTCAGTGTCAGCCTGGGTCGTCCTGAGCATGTTGTCGCTCTCTACTAAGCTCCATACTGACCTTAAACTTCTTTACATGCCGTCTTTTTCAAGGTATTTTTGGTTCTTCCTCATAGATGGGTATGGGTGCCAACTGCTGTAATCACAAGCACACCAGTCACATGACGCAACTGACGCCCTGGAGATATTTGGAAAAGGGTAGAGACAGGATGGGGAGAACCACGGAGAGACAAGAGCAGTGTAGAATGAAAGGAAAGAGGGAAAAAAAAGGAGGAGGAGAAGGAGGGGGAGAGAAAAGGTATGGGACAGGATTGTGCAAAAGAAGATATATAAATATGGTTTCAAACCAGCCAAGTGTCTCTGGCAAGACACTGCTGCTCCTAGTCCCAGGCACAGCTCGCTAAGTGATAGAGAAAGTAATTAAGAGAAGGCTGTTCAAGTAGATAGGCCTGTAAAGGAGATTTGAAGAGGGGAACTGATTGTGCATGTCTGATTCCAGCTCTTCAGAGAGTTCTCAGCCCCAAGGCTTAGCTTTCAAAGGGCCGTCTCTCTCCCTGTCTATCTCTCCGTCTCTTTCTCTGTGACATATATTTACTAACAAAATATGATGCTCCTTCTATCTGTAGAAAACTCATCATGGTAGTTGAATGTAGGACAGAAAAGAGAAAGCAGAAGGTGTCAGCATCTCACTTACTGTACAGTTTTACAGAGCATCTATCTATCTATCTATCTATCTATCTATCTATCTATCTATCTATCTATCTATCTATCTATCGGACAGATGTGTCTTCTTTTCCCTCAGAGCTTGTAGCCATATAGAGAAAACGAGTCTCTTCCTTGGACTTGAAAGTTCACACAGTGTCTTTTCCAAATAGTGATCCACCTCTGAGTACATGGAACCTGCTTGAGGACATTATAGAGCAACACTGCCACCTAGGATGAACTAGATCATCCTGCAGATACGAAGTCTGTTAGGGGTTCAGTCCAGTCAAGTCTGACATGAGTTGCATGATTTACATGTCATATTCAAGTTCCTTTCTCACTGTTGTAAATATTAAACAGAGTAACAGAGTCAATTTGAAATATCCAAAAACATCCATCATAAATTTATTTTTTCCATTAAGAGAAAATTTCCCAGGTAATGGTAAGGTAAGCTACGTACACTTTGTAGCTATAGGGGTACAGTATGGGTTTGGTATTATTTATTCATTTTATTTTATGTTGATAATTGGACTCCAGCACTGAGAGGACACAGGTTTCCTCCCTTTTTTAAACCTCTATTTTACTGTACATGATCAATACAAAAAATATCAGTAGATGAAAACAGTTTTGTCATCTTTGCAGTTACTACACTGCGAACATCTTTTGCCATAAAAGATTTCTTTCTTCTTGTATTATTTTAATGTACAATGTTATTGATAGTAGCCATATATAACTATGTATTATGATGAAAATATCCTGTATATTTCACAATGCAAATTCATTTTGATTTAAATTATTACTTGAGAGTTTATAAGCATTTTCACTGAGCTCTTCCTTCCGCAGAGCAGCTGCAGGCTAAACCGGAGAGTCCTCCCTCCCAGAATCCATCACTCTCTCTGTTGTTCATTAAGTCCATCATCCAAGGCCAAAACCACACTACACATACTGACCATGTATGTGTCTTTGGGCTGTTGAAAACTTGGATTACTGCAATGATTTTGTCAGAAACCTTGTTAAGACTTGAGGGCAGTTGCCTTTGTTTGCTCTCTGCTGTCTAGCAGTGCTGAAATCATGTAATCCCACTCAATGCAGAGCTGGGGATTAAATGAATTGACTGTTAAGACATGTGTTACACCTCAGTCTGCAAATAACACATAAATACAGCTGTCAGATAAAGTACGTGGAGAAGTACAGAAGTATTGAGTCTCACAGGCTGGATATTACTCAAGATAAATTTACCTTAGACAAATTCATACTACTTTACAGGAGGATACAGTAAATTGATATGGGGAGGAAAATAATCTACTGGCGACATCTACTGGAGAAACTGCTGTGACGTTGCAAGAGAAAAAAAAGATGTAATCTAATAATAAATGCTCAAGTTGGTGCCCTCTGCTGGTAAGAAAATAGACAACTACACAGATCTTTGGCATGTAGTTCAGTCCAAAATCACATCTGATTATTTTCATGCACACATTTAAAGTAGTCCAACATGTATTCGGTTGTAACACAAATTCCAATTCAATATGCTCATCTTTCGACAGAACTGAAATTAATCAAAGAATTTATTTATCTGAGTAAAATCCTGAAATCATAAACCTGTAACCTGAGACTTATTTTTGAAAATACAGGAGTAAGTTGACAAAAAATAAAAATTAAAGGCTATACATCAATGTAAAAATCTTGTCATGTCATCATGTGCCGCGTTTGCCTTGCTTTTGATTGTTCTTCTTTTCTTATTATCCCCTGTTAGGCCTAGGCTACATGAAGTTCTAGAGATTTTATTCCCATTCTTGATTTGAAAGTCCTGTAGTACCCATATAAGGGAAAGGAAATAAATGTAAATAAAAACTAAAACGACAGCATACGGGAAATTAGTTGATTTATATGTAAATTAAATGACAGTACCTAAAATGCGCGTGTCTGAAAAAACCTGTCTGTCATGCGTTACACCACTGTCGTAAAACGTCTCTGTCTGCTGTTGCAATGGCGTTTGCTGCGACAGCACTTTGCGGCAGCAGGGAAACCGAGGAGAAAGCAGCGACAAACGTCGCCAGCGGATACGCTATCGCCTCAAAAATCCTCGGATTTACGCAATATTCGGTGAACTAACTTGTATATTGTTTGTATATCCCTTCGCCTTGTGGATGAGATTGTATTCGAAGTTTTTCAAGCGTGAATCTCCACCTTAATGCGGTGGGATGGCCACAGTGCCGCCTGGGCCTAGTAGCGCACTGCCTGCATCCCCGGCTGAAATTCCTCCTTTCCCCGGGGCTGGAAGCGCGGAGCCGGCGGGGGGAGACGGAGAGCCGGTCTGCCACAGGGAGGACTGTGTACCCACCGCTACAGGGAAGACGTCTCAGCCGGTAAGCGAAGTGAAAAGGTCGGTGAAGAAGAAGCAGAAAAACATGCTAACGCGAGCTAGCCCGGCGGCGTTGCACCTTAAAATGCAAGCGCGAGAGCAGCAGCAGCTAAACGGCTTGGTCAGCCCCTCAGAGGACGCTAACAGCCACCAACACACAGGAAACCGACCTGACAATCCGAGACCGTCCGTGGACAACTGTGACAGCAGCAGCAGCGGCAGCAGTGAGGGGGCTCCGGCCGCTAGAAACAATAATGAGCATTGCCAACACGAAGGCCACAGCCCCTTCTCCAAAAACGGCAGTCACTCTCCCCTGGTTAACAATAGCGTGAACGGGATGCCGGGTTACACAAGAACTGAGGCGGCCCACAGCCACCTCGGGGACGAAGGGAAAGAGGAGTTTGACCACACGGAGCCGCCGAGACCGCCGAGCGACGAGCCGCCGGACGCTGCCGGGCCCGGCGAAGAGGACAACCCTGCTGACCCGGAGCAGCAGCAGCCGCCAGCCGCAGAGCTGGCCCGGCTCGACCTGAACAGCTCCCCGGGGCGAGCGGAAGAGGAGAGTCACGGCATCCGATATGTCCGTTATGAGTCGGAGCTGCAGATGCCGTGGATCATGAGATTGATCACCAAGGACTTGTCTGAGCCTTATTCAATTTATACGTACAGGTACTTCATCCACAACTGGCCGCAGCTCTGCTTTCTGGTGAGTATGACACTGAAACCCTCTCAATGAGAAGAAAATGCCTGTATTCACTGTAACTTTTTGTCAATCAAGTTAAAATATAGTGTGAGCTACCCCCTTCCCTCCTGTCCCATGGTCTTTGGTTACCTGAATCTGCATAGCATTGTTGGAGTTGGGTGTGACCACATACTCATAGCTTCCCATCACCTGTCAGTGTGTCTCAAAGGCAGCCAAACATAGTGCTCCCATGTACTGAAGACAAACACGCTCTGCTTAAACACACACATGTAAATATCTCACTGATAGCACATTGGAGTTTGTACAGTCCTAGCATTTGTGATTGCAAGGTACAACAACCATTTTTCTGTCACGGATCCTTGTTAGTTTTGTGGATTTTAGTCTGAGTTGATAGTTGTCAGATGAAGAAAGATTCAGCTAACATAGCACTGGTTATCACTGGTGTTAGGGTCTTTTGTCCAGACATCTGTGTACAGGAATTTAGGCACAAATGGCTCTTTATAACCCTTACTTTTTTAATAAAGACCAATGTGCTTTAAGTCAGTGTTTCCTCTTGCACCTACAGTATCCAGTCAGGATTTTTTTTTTTTACTTTGAAAAAAACTGTCTTGTTTATCCTCTGAGCCTCAAGGTCGTAAACTTCCCAGTTCCAGTTCGTCTGGTACGCCGCATGTGACATAAGAGGAAGTGCTGTGAAATAAAGGTCAGAGGTCAGCTCAGAGAGCCAGCAGAACTGGCAGGTTGACAGGAACTGCAGAAGAATTGTTGCTAGGCTTTCAGCAGCTACCCCAGTAGACACTCAGAGGACCTAATTGCTGTGTTTGCTTTTGTGTCTGTGTGTGTCACAGGCCATGGTGGAACAGGAGTGTGTTGGAGCCATCGTATGTAAGCTTGACATGCATAAGAAGATGTTCCGTCGTGGCTACATTGCCATGCTGGCCGTGGATTCAAAACACAGAAGGAAAAGCATCGGTGAGTCTGACCCCTCATAATACAGAGCATAGACCAAGTTTTGTGGACACATCTTTCACGTTTTCTTTGACAACCAAATCTCTTATGCAAATGTGACATTTAAATAATATATACACTGTGTGATGATGTGTAACTCTATACTTTAAACTTCAGTGACATTGTTTACCCTTTGCCTTACTTACACCATCAGACGTCAGGCTAGAAAAAGAAAAAGAAAGTCTTTGTGTTTTGTTTAATCACTGACAGTCACAGACTTCAACTCCCTATTTCAGGTACTAATCTGGTGAAGAAGGCCATTTATGCCATGGTGGAGGGTGACTGTGACGAGGTAAGACCAGTTCCCCCTGGAGGATGCCTCAATCACTTCACTTTTTGATTAAAGCCTAAAACACACTTAATGTATGTGTTCCATGCACAGGCGTCATGCCTGACATTGGCACACATTTGCAAGCTCTGTGCCAGCTTTTTCAATCGCAATGTTAACATATGCGATAGAGGGCAGTCTCGCATTTACCAGAACAGATCATACAGAAAAAGAAGAATCCAATAATTCCTATTAAATACAGGTTATACATAAAATGGTGACACGTTGGAAAATAAACCATATGTGTACTGTTGGCATTTGGTTCTTTGTTTTCCTTTTTTAGGTTTGTGTTGGCCCAGCTCCAGTGCCACTGAATATCTTTCCCTCACAGTTAGTCTCGATGACTCAAGATCGAATGATTGATTTTCCAGGCCACCACGGGTTTATAGCTTTATTGGTGCTCTCAAGCACCTGTAGTCATTCTGGACAAACAATTTCAAATTGTCTTCTGAGTTTGATTTACCAACTGCTTTGCTTGTAAATGCATTTCAACAGCTGACTCTTACAACTCAGATGTTGGACCTTCTTTGAGTGCACCAACAAAAAACCTCACTAAACAATCCCTTTTGCATCTGTATTACTACATAATGACAACATATCATACTGGAGTTCACTATTGGATGATGTGACGTACATCCATCCATTCATCCATTCATCCATCCATTCATCCATCCATCCATCCATCCATCCATCCATCCATCCATCCATCCATCAATCATCCGTCCATCCATTCATTCATTCATTCATTCATTCATTCATTAGCTATACCACTTATCCTTTTGAGGGTTGCTGGGGTACACCCTGAACAGGTTACCCACCTATCATAGGATTAATATATAGAGACAAACAACCATTGACGCTCACATCACCTTACTAAAGCATGTTATCATGTTCTGTCACTGTACAATACTGAGTCACAGTGGTTGTAATACATTTTTTGCATCATTCATTCATTTTGTTATCTCTATGAAGTATTGACTTAACTGACCATAAAGGGTTTTTTTCCACATTGATTGAAGTCTTTCAGTTAATCCATGTCAAAAAACAGTTTGTGTTTTTCAACAAAATCTTTTTTACAGGTTGTACATGATTTGCATGTACAAACATACTCCAAACGTTTAGGAGGTATCTTCCTTTTGAGTTTTATTGAGAAGATACATTTAAATTTCATATGTTAAATACAGCTGTTCGCCTACTTTAGCATTAAGACTGGAAGCATGTGGAAACAGCTAGCACTAGCTACCACAAAGATTACATTACAGTAACTTAAAAACTGTCCTGTTTTCCCTCTCTATGTGTGTATTTAACCCACATAGAAATAGAAGATGAGATATTGTGATGTTATGAGCAGTTAGCTTACTCACTGAGGCAATTTACTGACCAACAACAGCTGAGCCCCCAAACTACACGCAGCATCTAAGAAGTCAGCTGTCTCAAAGCTAATTTGCTGGCTCACAAACAGACCCGAACAAGCAAATGCAATTTGCAACAGCCCTGAAAAAGCAGGGAATGTTACATCAGTCAGTCTGTTCACTTTTCCATCCATGTGTTCCCAGGTTGTATTGGAGACTGAGATCACCAACAAATCAGCCCTGAAGCTGTACGAGAACTTGGGTTTTGTCAGAGACAAGCGACTGTTCAGATACTACCTGAACGGAGTGGACGCGCTGCGGCTCAAACTGTGGCTCCGCTAAAGGAAAGAAGAGGGGACGGGGGAGGACGGGACAGCGGGTGCTGTTCACCTCCTACAATATCAGCTTGACAGCCTCAGCTCTGCCCTGGTCATTTCACTCTTATCTACACAAACACACACATTCACACGCATTACACACATTACATACACACACCTGTGTACAACCATAAGGAGTATGCACATAGGTATGCATAGACATGCAGCCACACCCTCTTTTTGTCCTTGACTTCTGAACAACTGTTGTTTAGGCAGAAACGGACTTAAATCCCACCTGATGTTTTCATGAAGGGGCCCCTGATACTTTCTGTGACGAGGAAGGGGTGAGTGAGGGCGGTCTCTGGGATGACCTTGACTAGGGACTAGATGACCTTTTGACCTTCAAGCATGGATGCTGCGAGAGGACCCAGCACCACACCAGATCCTTCTCCAGAACAAAGGACAAAACAGGACTTTAAGAAAACAACACCACATGAAACAAGGAAGCGGGGCGGTATAAACAGACTGGGAAGAAAATATTTGTGGAGTTTATTTTTGTGTTTCTTTTTTAACCATGTAAGTTGGACGGGGGATGGAACAAGCTATAGTATGACTGCGTGTTTGTACCGCCTCATGATTTTTTTTTTTTTTTTTTTTTTTTTTTTGTAAAGCGAGCGAGTGTTTGGCTTGTTTTTGTGTGCATGTGTATGTGGTGTGTTTGATTTCGCTGTGAGCAAGTGAAGGTGTTTGTGTGACTGTGTGAGCGCATGCTTGGTTGGAATTGTACGTACTGTTGTGTGTTTCTGTTTCCCATCCTGTCCAGTGGGCGCAGCAGCGGCTCCCAGCTGCTGTCTCCATCACCTGCCTCAGCGTCCAGGACTGAAGCCTGTAAAGATATGCATGCATTTATTTTAATGTGAGTGCGGGAATAAGCGTGAAGAGTGTGTGTTGATTAACCCAGTCTGAGGTTAACCCTCCAACCCCTTCCTCTGTTTGGTGTAAGCATGTTGGTGCAGAGCAGTTGATCGAAACAAATCACTCCATTGGCGCCTCAAACTTTGCCCAGCCGGTGGATCTGCCACCTTTTTTGCTTCATTGTCCTTCACTAAATCTCTCATCATCAAACCCTGACAGAATATGGGTTTATTTTTTATCTTCCTATTTTTTGCAAATCAGAACTTGTTTTCCCCAAATGCACTGCCAGCCACTGCAAAATTCCCAAAAAGGAGAAAATGAAGTCTTTCAAAGACATTTCTTGCCAATGATGGTGCAGTCAAACTTTCCTACCCGTCTCAGTTTACTCCTTTATATTATTTGTCAGATTCTCCTCATTGCAAGTGCCACTCAATCCATCAGAGCTCTCAGCCACAACTGCAGTGATCTGCCTGCTAACAGGCGACACACCGCAGCCTTGGCACACTTCTGGTCTGCCCCTCAGCACCAGACCGGAGGCAAAGTGTTACATATGCTGGATTCCTGTTTGAGTATGCTGTGTGCGTGTGTGTGTTTATCTCTCGATTAAAAAAAGGAAAATAGACAAGTATTCTTAGCAGATTATATTTTATTCTTTTGTTTGCTTTCAGTTCATTTAGATATACTACTATACACCTGTATAACCTCACGCTGCGGTAAGCGGCTGAGTCCACAATGCACTTCCCAGGTGCCCTGACTCGATGCACAACCAACCTCGCTAACATTTTAAGATCTGCAGCCCAGAACACGTCACAGAGGCACCTGGACGTTTCAATCCACACTAAATATGGCAAAGAAAGTTTGCTTCAGCCGCTCTTTTTTTTTTTTTCTTTTTTTCTTAAAAGTTAAATGAACAAAGATCAGATGCACTTCTTTGGAAATTGCTGCAGTGTGTATGTATACGTATGAATGTGTCTGTGCGTGTTCTGTTATTTTGACAACGGTGTGGATCTGTTCTGATAGACTTATATTTCTCTACTTTCAGAGGCCCCCGCACATGAAAATCAGAGCCTTTTATGGTGCTGTGTTTTGTTCCAGCCTAATGAGGACAACAGGACTTGTTAGTAATAGGAGGGAACAAAAGCGCACGTTTTTTTTTTTTTTTTTTTTTTATGTTGTCTTTTTTTTTTTGTAGCTTTCCAGGATTCAAGTTAGTGCTCAGTGTTATACAGACGGCAGGAGACAGAGTAGTTCATAGTTAAAGGGGAATAAACCTTAAATCAGCTTGGACTCTTTTCAAAGTCAAACAGAATGTTTTTGTTTTCCTTGTAGTGTTTCAAATTATGCAATTGGACATCTGTGTGCTTTTATCCTGCCTACAATATTCAGAGTAGACAGCACTACCAAGACACTGCCATGTGGCACAACTGAAAATCTGACTACAATCTGCTACAAATCTTGACTACACAACAAACAAAAGTATCCAGCTTTATGCTGAATGATTTAAGGACAGATGAGCTAGTCTCTATGAATGACACTACAAGACCTTGTTCATGTTTTGGGTTTATTTCCCCTTTCAGCTGAGACATTTCATCCCAGGAGGCCAGGACTGGAAGGGAGAGTAGATGTTTACAGAGTTGCCACCCACATAACAGCCTGTGTATGTAAGTTTGTGTCTGTGTGCATTTGGAACAATGGATCAGATGACCTATTTTCTTTTTTCTTTTTCTTTTTCTTTTTTTTTCAGATTTGTATACGAGTGTTGTTCTATTCATGGGATATATTGAGAGCATGTTTTCTTTGGTGAATCATCTTTTGGGAAAGGGGGCGATTTGGGTTGATTTATCGGATTTGAGTTTTTATTTTTAATTTCTGTGCTACTTTAGCCCATCCAGAAATGTAACAAGACTGATGAGCATATGAAAACCACCTAGACCTTGAACGCCAATTATTTCCTTTGCTGCTCATCTTACACCATTTAGGTTTCAGTTATTACCCTGTTCAAACTCCTGATTTATTCTGGAGGTTTAAATCTTCTGTTCCTGTCGACACTTGTTTCCACATTCTTCTGTGTCCTCTCACTGTCCGGGCTTTTTCTTCTTTTACACTGACTACTGATGGATGAACAGTCTGGATTTGTTACACGATAACAAATTAACCCATTTTGTTCTTTCAGCATGAAGGTGTTTTAGATTTGGAAGGAAAAGGGTCTGTTAACTTCTTTTCGTTTAAATCCTGTGAAACTCTGGCAGTTCCATTAGGTATATGGGCATTACAGCCTGCCACAATGAGCCAAAGGGCTCCGTTTAGGTCATCACAGACTGAAGGGCTTTGTCATCAATATCAGTTTGTAGCCTTGGCTTGTGGTGCATAGTTTTACCCAGCGCTCTCTGACAATGTCTTCTCTGCATCCGGAATCAATTTTGATTTGACATGCCAGTTCAGTGTTCACAGATCGTCAGAAGCATTTTTTTCCCTTCGCCCTGGACGTCCACCGTGTTATCCAGGTTGCTCGTCCTAACAGTCCCAGCCCCACTTCTATGTCCTCACACAAGGCCACATCTGCTGTTCTACATATACAATTATAAATTCCCCCAGAAACCAGATTGTTGGTCAGATAATTAACATTTGTATTGGTAGTCATACTGCACCACAAATTGCTATGGTCCCCACAACCAACCACAGGGGTTTCCTGCAGTCTTTTCAGGGTGGCCAGCACCACCTCCACCGCCATCCATGACGTGTGCAAAGGGGAGAGTAAAAGGTTTTTTTGCATGTCGGATTTCTGTTTCCCCTGTTCCTCTTCCCTGTCCCCTCTCTTGATTTTGATCTGGAAATGTCCGATAGCTTTTATTTAATGTGGAAAAAGAACACAGAAATAAATTATTTGATTTTTTTAATGCTGTAAACTGGGTTATCTTGTCTGCTGTCTGTCTTTTTTTTTCTTTTTTCTTTTTTTTCAAAACCTTCCAAGTTCAAAACCTTTACACTTTGAGATTATGACAGGTATAAGAAGACAGAGTCAGAATCAGACATCTAAAAGATTAGTTTATTTGATCACATCGGGTTTCATGTCTACATAAAGAGACAAAAGGTGTCACTATTTTACATCACAATTATCCTAAAACAGTATTATTGCATATAAACAGGCAGTTGTATATTAAGCATATCACATATGAAGATACAGAAAATACTTTTTCTGTAAACAAAAGACAAGACCTAGTTTTTAAGTCATTGGTGTAACAAACATGGCTCATATGACCCGTGTTCTAATATTTCTTGCATCTTTTCTGGACTACAGCAGAGGAGTTTTCTATTAAAGGATTCCTCTTATTTTCCTCCACTAAGTAAGGACTCAAAACTTAATCTGAAAACAACATATTGTATCTCAGCAACAATGACACTGGGTTACACTTGATGGGCAAAACGTCTCATCTTCTTCATCTGCCATTGTCTGGACCAGATTTACAGACACAAAAACCACTTTGGTCAAATTGAGCTGGTTTAAAAAAAAATCTTTGACTTCTTGAAATATTAACCTCTGCCTCAGTGTCTCCAGTGTTTGTGCTTTACCAGCCAACAGAAACACTTTATTAGAAAAATGTCTGCAAGGGTTGTGGTGTATGAATAGACATCATGCACTTAGAAACAAACATTTTGCAAGTGGCAGAAAAATGAGTTCATATCAGAGTTGTACTGTACGTCAAAATCAGTTTTATGCTACATACTTTAGGATGATGGTATTTTGTATGTGTTTCTCACAGTAGCTCTTATGAACAAATGACTTTGAATAAAACATTTACATTTCCACAAAATTCACATTTAAACTAAGCATTAATGCAAATGACTTGTATGTTAAGGTTTCTAAAATGTCTGGAAATCTCGTTCTAAGCAGTAGTTCAGCATTTTGGGAAACACAATCGCTTCCTTGTCGAGAGTTAGATGAAAACACTTATAACACTCGCATCTGTCAGGAAAATATATGAAGCTGGCCAGGAGACACTTAGCTTATTTTAACTTATCTGAGTTTATCTTTTTTTTATCTTATCTTAGTTTAGCTTAGTTTGATCTGGAAATAGGGAGCTGCTAGTTTGGCTTTGTTGCTCAACAGCACCTCTAAAGCTCACAAATTCACACGATACAACTTCTTTGTTTAGCAATTAGCAGTTGTAATGTAACAAGTAGAAACTCCGGGCTTTTTTTGTACAAATTAAATAATTAAGACATAACATGTTTATTTGTGAGGTTTAAAGGTGCTGGTTGGTAGAATTTCTGCCAAGCTAGCTAGCTTTATGCTAAGTTAGCTACCTAGTCAGCTGCTAGCTGTAGCTGAAGGACAAATATGATAGCAGTATATCCATCTTCTAATCTGCCTCCATGCCAAAAAGCAAATAAGTGTCTGCTTTTCACAAAATGCTGAACATGTTTAGCAATAAATAAAACTTTATTTACACTAACATGACTGACCCCAAGTCAGCTACATATACAGTACACATATTTACATTGTTTATGTAATGTCACTCTTCTACAGCCCTTTTATTACTCTACAGAAAACCCGCTGGTCTGCACCACTTTCCCCCTCCACTCCACAAAGCCGAAACCTTTATTTCCCAGCAACACTTTCATCTAGCCAATACACTGCGAATGCATTTTTCTTTTTTCAAGCAGCAATTTTTTTTTATGTCAAAGTGCATCACACCAGCCCTGCCAAGCCATTTAACTCAACATCACCTGACAACATTCAAAGAGGTGCCCACACTGGTACTTTTAGAAAGGGTGGGGGGGATACAAAGCTGACCTTTGTGGAGCTTGTGCAAATTGTGCCCTATACTCAGTCATACTCTGTGGATCAGATGAGTCACAGCCAAACAGCCCAGGGTGATTGGAGATGCTTTAGTCATAGCAATAGTGATGTTCGCCTCCATTACAGGAGCATCGGGCATTGGTCACCAACCAAAGGACCCCAAAAGAGTCTCATCAGAATTCATCCTCGGAGCTGTCAGCCAGCAGCATTGCCTGGTCCTGACGGCTTGTGCCAGGCTCTCGAGGTTGCTGGGGAGGAAAAGATAAACTTAATGCAATTTAGACCCACGGTAAGTGACCTGTTGGATGCATTGTGACTACAAGAGTCAGTGACAAGTGAAACACTAAGTGATTAATACAAGAAGGGTATTGACCTCTGGCTGTCTGACCTTCCTCCTCTGGTGTTTGAAGCTGTTCCTCCTCTTGCGGTGAATCATCCTGATGCTGTAGAGGGCGCCAACGATTAGCAGGGCCCCTGTGATGCCGATGCCCACAGGAGCCAACATTCCAGACACATAACCCGCCTGCCGACAGTGGAGACACAGAGGTCAGAGGTCACAGAGTGGTCAACATATCTAATCCAGGTAAATCCATTTAATCTCTTTTATACTCCAAATTAAAAAACGTATCAATGGTTAATTTCCTGCATGAGCAAAGATGACTAATTCTATATTTTTGTCATTGTCAACAAATCTTATTCAAAAGAATGAGTAAGTTCGTCTCTGAATACTTTCTGACTTCCTGTCTGTGGTACTCACTTCTCTTTCCGTTAATAACTATGAAGACGTAATCTTTACAACATGTTACGCATACATATTTCAATTTTTAAAAAGACTCGCTGATTTCTTAAAACAGCTGGGCACTGTAGTTTTTACAAATTTTTATCCAAAAAGGAATTAATGGTTCCATTGTTATGAACTATTTTTAGCCACGGTTTAATACACATTTGACCCAATGAGTAAGTTAGAATAAGTAAGAATAAGTTCCCATGTTTATGGCAATGAAGGAACATGTCTGCCATTGTAACAGCAGAGCTCACTGATCCATCATTTTTTTAACAACAATGAAGACATATCATATAGATAGTAAGATTAATTATATGTTGCTTTTGGTCTTTTAGTGAGATACTGTATGTCGACAGTAAAAAATAAAAAAAACAGAATATTGTCAGCTTGAGTCCAAATGCCACTTAATGAAGGAATGAAGGAAACTGCCATTTTTGATGGACAGATAATGCTTTTCAAGGACAGCAGGTGGCAGTCTTACCTTTTCTCTGATCAGCTCTACCCAGCTCCGCACTGGAAGAAAAAAGCCACAGATTTAACAAGACAACATACGTCAAGACTGTTTATCAGTTAGTTTAAATATTTCTGTTTTAGTGTAGTCTGGTAGATGGCAACGAGTAGTTGTATAAGCATAGAATACGTGCTAATATGTTCCAAAGCTGATTAAAAAGATGATTTAGAAAGCATATGTTCATACTCAGCCCCTGGTTGCGTTGTACCCAGACAGGAGGAGGAGGGATGAGGCTGTATGGAGGCTGCGTCGAGGATGTTTTAGGTATTTCTGTCAGGTCCTCTTCGCTCTCTTCTTCCACTGATTCCTCAGAGTTCTCATCATCCTCATCCTCATCAGGCTCCTCTGTGGGGAAGAAAATTATCTACTCAGCAGCCAAGAAGAAAGGGTCACATTTATGACTGAAAATAAAAAAATATATCAATTTAAATGGCAATTTTAAATTAAATTGTTTTGCCCTGGGTAATAAAACTCATCTTACCCTCAGACTCCATCTCCTCTAACCCTGATCTAGATTTGTGCACAGGCTGATGGGCTGCCATGGTAACTGTTGTCATAGTGTGCTGGAAGGATGAAAGGGAGGGGCCAGTGGTGGGCAAGTTCTCTTCAAGGTTTGGTGTCCTCACAGCAACTACATGTCCCAAATCAAATACCATGGGGAGAAAGCAAGAATAGTGGAGGTTTGTATACATGTTGAAGGGTTGAATCCATGTACAAGGTGCCTCATTACACCTTTGGTGAACTTAGAAATGCATTTGTTCCATTTACAATATCCTAGTGAGGTAATGGTGATGAAAACAGTAGCATCATTTAAGAAATGTAAAGTTCAAAAGCCAAGCAGCACATTGTGTTGGATAAATCAAAACAACGATCAATAAGCGAACGTTGACATGATGAGATGTGTAAAGAGAGTGTGGAAGCTGCATTAATGAGGTTACTATTAAAATCTTTGATTGAGAACAAAATGTTCAGTATGAGAAGTTTTAAAGTCTCCAAAAGTTGAGTTTAGTGCCGAAGCTGCCTGGAAGGAAAAATACGTTGATCAAAATGAAACTAAAAAGATTAGTGCATGCTGTGCTATTACTTACTGCACTGTGCACGGTGCCATCATGATCTGTTTTGGCACCATCATTCCAATGTGTATTCTCATGCAGCTTTAGCATACAGTACTATTTCAAGCTATGACCCCTAGTATGGTATGCTTTGGAAAATGTTTGGAGTACATGTGATATGTAGGAAAGAGGCTAAACTGTGTAAAGCAGCAGTATGGTTCATTAGGGCATGATTCCATACAGCATCATGCTTGCTTTGAGGCTCATTTGTTTATTCTGGTCCAGCCACATCACCTCTCTCACCTCTCTCTGAACGATCCTCCGGCTCAGTTCCGGCTTGCTGCTGCGAAACAGACGGAACTGAGGAGCCAATTGGTTCCAGGAGCTCGGCGCCGGATGTCTGCCAAGGTGACGTCCAGTCTGGCATCAGCAGGGATGGGGCATGCGAGGGACTGTCACTGTCTGTCTCCACGGTTACCAGCTGGTCCAGGTCCACCTCTGACAGAGGCATTCCACCGGTCGCCATGGCAGCGGGAGGCTGAGCGCTACCGGGCACCAGCGTGACCACTGCTGCTGGCGCTGGTGCTGCTGCTGCTGCCCCCTCTGGTGTGACGTCTTCAAAAGGCTCAAAGATGAGAGGGAGAGCCTCTGATGACATGGTGCCCTCTGTGGCCTCATCCTGAGACAGTGGGACCATGGTGTCCACTGCAATTTGTGTTAACACAAACACAGAGGCAGAATGAAGGTCAGGATATACAGCATGGCAATTTAATTTCCAGAGGGCAGAGTTGTTTGGACTTTATGGTAAAAGTCAGTGAAATGCTGCAGCCAGTTTGATGGATTCAGTGAGTAAACTAGGGCAAATGAATAATGACAAGTTGAGGGTCCTGCAGTTTCTTTAGACCCAGCTGTGCTGACGGATAGAATGAAAAATGTATGTTTTCTGTTGCAAAGCAGCAACTGTATACAGCATATAGCTTCTTCAGTATTTATGACAGATACAGCTTTTTGAAACAGCTACCTCTTTAGACATGCAGTTTTCTCATTAAAAGCACTTGCACTCTCGGAGCTGAGTTCACAGTGCAGCTAAGACACAATGAAAGGAGGATTGGAAAACGGCTCTTTTTAGATAAGAGACTACCACAGAGGCGGCTGTCACAGGAGAAACTGTTACTGCATATCTCTCAGGCATTTCCTTTAGTCCAAAGCATTTCTAAAGTAGGCTGAAAAATGCTTATAAAGACTGCAATCCTTTTACATAATGCCATTTTGAGAATTTAGTTTTTCTTTGTCAGCTTCCTTTTCTGTTGGGAAGGAAGCTTCATCAAACATACAATCCCCATACGGACGGCAGGAACACATATTGGCTCAGACAGACTCCTTTAATCCATTTCCCTCTCCTGCCTCACTGAATAATAACCTGCTTGGTTCTTTACAATGGTCTGGATTGGGAGTGTGAAGGGTGGGAAGGAAAAGAGAAGAGGTTTTTTTTTTTTTGGGGGGGGGGTTGATAGCGATAGAGAGAGAGAGAGGGAGAGAGAGAGGATGAATCCTCCAAAGACTTGTATAACACACCCTGCCACCAACTTTTTGCTGGCAGTTGTGTGTGTTCTCTTTTTCTTTTTTTCCAGACTGGAGTCAGGAATAGAAAGTAATTAGACTGCCACGGGTCCCAGCTGGGGTTCAAAGTGGAGCGTGGAAAAGCGGGCGCCTTCTTTGCCAATCATCAAAGGCAATCTCTGCCACTAGACATGTCGTTTTCATTTCCGCCGCACTTTTTAATGAAGCCTCCTGAAACCCTGCAAAATCCAGCACGCCGGAAAATACAGCTTGTTGTGGAAGGAATTCTTACAGGGTGACAATGACTGCAGAGCATTATACCTTACACCACTTTGAAGGCATTCTGTGGCTGTTGAGTTTGAACATGTGGAATTAATGACCAATAAAGGATTAGAGAAAGTTTTGCCCCAATAAAAACCCACAGATGTCCATTTTTCACCAACATTAGTTATTCATTTTTAACTTTTCTCACTTACCTCCACCAGGTCTCACTGCCTCAGTCCACAGGCTTTCTGGTCCATCCTCTCTGGGCATCAGGTTCGGTCCGATTTCAGGCAACAAGGGGTCAGGCAGTGAGGATACTGTAGCTCCATCATGGCCCCAAATTGTCAAAGATGTGGAGGTCCGAGGGGAGACAAAGACCGAAGAGGGGATGGGACTGTGAGAGGTCAGTCTCTGGATCCGTGCTGAAGGGTTTGGAGGTTCTGTAGAGGATGGCGAGCTTGTTTCTGGGTCTTTATCCTGAAGGGAATCACCTCCACCAGGGAGCCTTGTTCTGTCCGCCCCACCTTGGCTGTCTGAAGGCGCCAGCTGTGGTGGCGCTGTAGAGGAGGCCAGAAGTCCACCTGGAGTCAATCTTGAAGTACTCATGTCTGTGTCCGACTGCTTTTCCCCACCTGTAGAAGTAGATTCATGCTCATCGAAGACAGGTATGTCCTCCTTGGTGCTCTCTGACTCCACAGACAGCACTGAAGTTGCCTCCGACTGTCTGTCAGCATCTCCCATCTCAGATGAGATCCCGACATTCTTTACCTTACCCGTTTGGCTCCATGCCTCTCCACCAGCCTCACTCCGCCCAGATCTTCCATCAAGGCTGCCCTCGTTTTCTGTCTGCGTCAATGGAGCTATCCCCTCAGGTTGTCCATGTGGGCCAGCCCCTCCTCCTGCACCTACATTCAGTATCAGGCCAGTCACATGTTCTGTATCAGACGGTTTAGACTTCACATCTGTGGTGTCTGTTGACCTGACGGTTTTTACTGAGCTGGCACACTCTCCATCACAGCCGCTGTCCTGCGTGGGAGTGAAGTCTGAGAGGTGGACAGGGGTTCCATAGACACAGAGACAGGTCCCGGCCAGGAGGAGGCGATGGAGCATCCCAGACATCAGCATCTCTGTCTCGTCTCAGTGCCTGCAGAGAGTGGACGCAAATGACAAATGCTAATAGGTTTAACTGAGGTGTGAACGGTCCCTGCATGCAACGTCTACGCCTTGTCAACCGGCAGACATGTGGACAGAGAGACAAAGAAGAGGTGGAGGTGCCTGGGAAGGAAGATAGGTGACAAGGCACATTACAAAGGTGCTCAACTGCAGATTAAAGGGCTAGAATGCAGAGTATATTTCATTTGAGAACTTCATATAGCCCGTGATAACCACAGAGAACAGGATTAACTCTGCATGTATGCCTGCTTTTGCTTTGATGCTGTAGTTGCACCGTTTTGAATAATTTGGATGAAATTCCCTTTCATCTCAGACTCTTCTGTTCATTTTGAATAAACAGAAAGAACACACGCACAGAGAGAGAGAGAGAGAGAGAGAGAGAGAGAGAGAGAGAGAGAGAGAAAGAGAAAGACAAACAGAGAGAGAGAGAGAGGAGAAAGAGAATGACAACCAGAGAGAGAGAGTGGGAATCTGCACAGCAATCCTTAGCACCCCCCCCCGCCCCCCCCCCCCCCGCACTTCACCTATAAATAGCTCCAGGTTTTCTATCCTCTAGGATCCTCTACAGATGAATCCATGAATGTTACGTTTTTACATCACACACAGTTTGCATACAGGATATACCCATGACTAAATAACATGTTAAATGGGATTAAAACAAACTAAACAACTCAGTGTGGCGCATTTGTTGCTCCGAGTGATTGGACAACAATAATCACCCAATAATCAATCACCGCTGAAAGAGACACGACACGCCTGGTGTTAACAGGGTGACACCCTTACATACTGCCTGAGTCAGACAAGCGTCTGAGAGAAATCATCCTCCAGCCGTGGTGATGCACAGTCCAGCAATGTCACAATACAACCCACTTCTCTGCCTTCGCACCCCCCCCCCTCCCACCACCAACACCACCACCACCACCAACACCACCACCACCACCCCCAACCCCCCTACGATCAACACAGTTCATACTCTCAGCCAGTCTGCTCATGCAGCCCGCCACCTGACAACATAATGGCTCGAGCATTTGGACTGTAAACAAATTCACACTGCGGTGTTGAATCACGTTTCTCCAACCTGACCGTGCAGATACCTGAGCTAGTCACAGCCTTACACACACTATAATGCACAAAAAAAAAAATCGCATCACCCATCATACATCCAGGCACTGAGAGCGAAATTTACATGGTAACAACTGAAGTCGCATATGGCTAAAAATAAAACTGCCTTTACCTTCCAGAGTTCATGTCGGATTGCCGTGCCTGAAGGACGCAGGAGCTTCTCTTTCAGAAAAAAAGGAGAAAAAAAAGAAATGCAGTTTGTATGAATGCAAATTCGGGGTAGACTAGAGTGGAAAGCAAGCTGAAGGAGAGGCTTGTTGTTGTGCAGCTCAGCGTCACTGACTGGAGATCTCAGTCTTTTCTACGTATGTCCGCCTGCTCCTGAAGTGCTGCCACCAAATGCTTCAAATCTGCAGCATTTATTCAAACGAACGGCTTCAGCCTGTGATTTAGGATCACCGCGCTGCTGCCCTCCAGTAAATCTGTTCAGTTTGTTGTTGTTGTTTTGTCACCACCAAAGAGTCACTTCAGGGTCTTGATGGTTAAGATCCTTAACCTCGAGTCAAAGGTCCCCTGCTCCTCACACAGAGCGGAGAAGGCTGTGACAGTTTTTCTAATTTTTGTCATTTACTAAACAACTTAAACAGGGAGTCACTTTCCTATGCTGTAACCTTAATATGTTATATAAGACTTTTTTTAACGGATTGATTTAAATGTAATCACCTCAATGTATAATGTTTAAATGAATGTAATGCATAAATTAAATTAAAAGCAGTATTAATCCGCCAATATAAATTAATACTATATTGTAAATGGTTTATTAGGCCTATATTGACAGTAATGTACTGTAGGCTTTATAATGGCTCAGGCCTACTAGATGTGACACTGCTCATGAAAATGTTGGTTTCAAGTTTGAATTCTTTTGAATTACATTTTGGGTCATACATGTACAAGCTGGCCTTCACAGTTAAGTGTATCTCATATAGAACCAGATCTTCACTATGTCAAATGTTGGAGTGAACACAGAAGATGTCAGTGATTATGCACGTCTTCTTAATTAATTATGCACTCTGAGTTTTTATATGCCATGTTATTGTGAGCAATTGTGGTAAAGAATTGTTTAGTGCATTTGTACCTGAATGACCTCTTCGCTCCATGCAAGTATCTCAGTTGTCTTTTTATTTTAAAATAGCATGACATACAAGCAGGTGCATACATGAACAATCAAGCAGTAACAATCACAACAAACGAAATGAGGTTACAAATCCAGCAGGTCTGCACAGCTGTATGATCTGAAGTGTGCTCTACTGTCTCCCCAACAAGTCAGCTCTGAAACAGTCTTTGTGATACTGAAAATTTCAGTGCAAGATACTCGACACAAATTGTTCACTGCCAAAGAGGATGAATGATGAGGTAATGGTAGTACTATAATTGTATAAGAACTGATATAATGTTGCTTGTATTTGCATCAGAGAAACTGGACACTAGTGGGGGCAGATAGTTAGCTTTAACAAGGACCTTCCATGAACAGCATGGCAAAGGGCAAAACTGGAGTAGGCTTATAGTGATGGCAGTATAGTTTTAGCATACTGAAAAAGTTCCAGTGACCCCCTGTGGTGACACAATGAGGTTACAACATTAGCATACATGTATGGAATCCTATAGGTATATTCATAGGTTAAACCTATGCATTGTTATTCAGAGGGACAATCACACAAAAATGTTTTTTTTAAAAATAGCAGATAAGTTTAGGGACATTTTTTTCCCTGTTTCTAATCAATTGAATCTAAGGCGTCTCACCTGTTCACTGTTACTTATGTCCCCTAGAGTACAGAGACTGTCAGTGCTTTGAATAAAATCTAAAAACACAACATAACACAGCACAATTATATATCTGCAATATATGAAAGTAAGAAAATGACAGTTTTAAGCTGATAGAAAACGTGCTTTGATCATGGCTGGCAGGTCTATAACTGTAGGCTCTTTCTAAAATGTGTTGTATTTTTTATATTTGAAGAATCTGCATTTACTGCATGTGAAATTGAGTGGTTAATTATAAGTTTCCATTCATCTGTTCATTTTGAGCAAATTTTGATCAGGCAACCCCCCCAACACCACCACGTGACGTCATCACGTTTCTGAAGACCCAACCCAACCCAACAGGAAGACAACAGATTTTTGATACGATGCAAAATTGCGACTGTGGATCAGACTGCTAATTACGGACATCATTTTCGCACAAAGACGAACAAATTAGTAAAATGCCATTATTTGATGGGTTGGGAAGTGGAGGAGAGAAGACTGCTATCGTCATTGATTTAGGAGCAGCATACACAAAGTGAGTATCAGTCGTTAGCATGTCTCGTTAACGGTTAGCACAATATGCTAATGTACCTATGTATTTATTTTATCAACCGCCCGTTTCTTGGTACTTAAGCTCTAATACAGACGTGGAAGCGCACTAACACGTGATTTATAACTGTTATACTGGCCACCATAATACTGGTAGTAAATGTTGTAGCGGTGTTAGCTACTTAGCCACTCAGTCAGTGCTAACTAGGCATTTCAATGTTTAGCCAGCGTTAGCTGATGCCAAATTAGAGCTAAGAGAAAATCCAGTTAAGAAAAACAGTGTAATGTCAACGGCAGGGACATTACAGTCAGCTACACTGCCAAGTCGCAGTGTCTGAACATCCCACATGTTCGCATTTGGGTAGATTTCAGACAATGACCTAATTCAAAGCTAAGCTTTTTGAGGTTACATGTATTGAGATGCGTTTTATAATATTTTGGGGAAATTAGATGAACCAGGAGCAACTGAACATCAAAGCCAAGCTTGTTTTCATCAGACCAGACCACCACCCTGCCAGTTGTCCATTGTGAGATGAAAATTTCCCTTTACAATGACTGCTGGTTTAGTGAACCAAGGAGTTTAATCTTAACATCTGGACATCTGAAAGCTGTCTGATACTAGAGGTTATTTCACTTATCATTATACCTTACAGATCTCCTCTCTTGCTTCATTTACAGTGACCACTGAGACCACTTTCCTACTCACTTGAATGGGAAAGTGGTCTCAGACTTTTGGACCCCAGTGTATGTAATCTGAACAAGATTTTAGTCAAAGGGGTTTTTATAGTAAAGATGAAAAACTGGCCTGAAGCAAGTCACATGAAGATCAAGAGAACAGTTCTCTTCTTTTTTAATAATGAAGTCTTTGTGTGCAGTTGCAGTACCACAACATTTGACAGAGCGCACTGTTATCTTATTTATGTGCAACTGTACTAAAAAATGATTTTGCCTTCTCATAAAATGATTATATGGCCCTTTGAACTAAGCGTCTATCCCTCAAATAAAAACTATAACTCATTTGATTCCTCGAACAACAGATTGCCATGTTGGGATGCATCATGTTTATAATTGTTCTGTTTGTATGCAGTTCACTTGCATTGTTTCTATGATAGTATGTTTAGAGTCTTTAAAAAAAGTTACAGATTGAATTTTGTTGTGCTAGTAGTAGTTCTCTGCATGGCATCCAGCAGCTCAGCTGACAGTTTTATTTCTCTGCAGATGTGGCTTTGCAGGGGAAACGGGGCCCAGGTTCATAATTCCGAGCGAGATCCGGAAACCAGGACAGCAGCAGGTGAGACGCACCGCTGTGCTTTACTGAGTGTGATCATTTGGAAGGATGTTTGGAAATTGCAAAATATATCTTAATGTGGTATGTGGTTTCTTACTTTCAGGCCACCAAAGTGGTTCAGTACAACATCAACACAGAAGAGCTTTATGTCATACTCAAAGAGTTTATCCATATACTGTACTTCAGGTGAGACTCTGTTGCTTTAGTTATTCTTTGTAAGGAAGTGTTAAAAAAAAAAGTTACTATGGTATGTGTGCAAGAACTAAACAAATGAAACATGGTCAGTAGTGATTTGGCCTCATAAAAAAAAATGCTAAAATTTTGGACCATGTCTCATACAGAACATATACAGCTTTGAGCTTTCTTCAAATCAAAAAATGTCCTTCCGATTGTCTTGATCAGACACCTGCTGGTGAACCCTCGCGACAGAAGAGTGGTTATCATCGAGTCCATCCTTTGCCCGTCTCACTTCAGGGAGACTCTCACCAAGGTTTTCTTCAAACAGTTTGAGGTACCACAGTCAAGCACATCAGTGTTTTATGAAAACTGCAGACCTGTTTTTAAGAGGTGTTAATGTGACATATTGTTTTAATAACAATAAACTCTTATTTTAAACTGAATGATTACTTCGCTGCTCCAAATATTTGCAGTTAATAAAAAAGGTTTTTAAATATTAACATTACATTTCTGCAGGTGATAAAATTATCACTTGGATGTTACTTATTATTCAAATGTGTCTCTTACATTTTAACACATAAATCTCAGCCTCATTTTGGTCTTTATTTTTAAAAATCTACATGTCTTCAGAGATTTTGAAAGTTGTGAAGGACAGCAACAGACAAGTCACACAAAAGTTATACAACACACTTTTAACTTAACAGATATTCTCCTAATGGTAAGAGGAAATTGCGGTCTGTAGTGGGTGTTCTGAGTTTGCTCTGTGTTTTTGGTGTTTCCCAGGTGCCCTCTGTGCTGTTTGCCCCAAGTCACCTTATGGCCATCATGACTTTGGGCATCAACTCTGCTCTGGTGATGGACTGTGGCCACACAGAGACACTGGTGTTGCCTGTATCTTTTTTTTTGTTATCTTGTAATCTGTAATCTTCTCTATTCCTTTTTCTGCATTTGTAAATGATGCAAAGTGTAATTGTTGGAAGGGACCTGTGGCAGAGGTAGATCAACTGTTTACCCTTTAATAGCTAAACATGCCTTGGACCCCAATCTCTCACTGTGAATCTTACCTCACCATAGAAGAGAAGAAGTAGCTTCATCATAGAAAATGACTCACTATTGATAGGTTGCTGATGCCATCTTTTATTTTAGTGTGATATTTCTGAATTTGAACATGCATTGATGCATTAACAATTACTTGGAGATTCATTTCTTACCTTAACTGGTGAAATCAGGTTTATGAATGCACTCCTATTCTGCCAGCTTGGGAGGCTTTGCCTTTGGGAGGGAAAGCCATCCATAAGTAAGTAGCTCTAACAGATTGTAGAGGAGAGTGAGACTTTGCATGTCATTGTACTATTTTGTGACCACTTTGCTTTATATTGAAAATGCTGTGACTGCAAAATGGAACTTTGTTTGTGCTTGTGTTTTCTCCCGTAACTGAACATGTCTATATTTATTGTAGAGAATTAGATGGACTTCTTGTGGAGCAGTGCACTGTGGACACAGACACGACCACTGGGCAGAGTGTTCCTGCTGCCATTGGTAATTACAGAAAAATACCATACACCGTCTCTCTTTATCTCTTAAATGGATACATTTGTAACTCTGATATGGACTGCTGATTCGTTTTACGACAACGCGAGCAAGAGAATATAATGCCTTTGACCTATTATGCATCATTGACTATTCATAAGAGGAACTTGTTTCTGTGACATTTGAGTGAATCCCTTTCTGGAACTGTGAATTATACATATGCATACAGTCTATTTTAGAGTTTTCTCTCCACATTATTTCTTGATAGAGGAAACCGAATTTAAGTGTTGCGCTGTGAGGTCTAGAGCTGCATCAGAGTGAGAGAAGCTACACATGTATACATCAATAATTAAGACAGACAGCCGGTTGACTCACAAGACTGGACTGTTGGACGAACTGTATTTCTGCAGTAAGCACTGTGATTAACCCATAACACATGATTCTGAAAATGTGGTGCACAAAATCTGAAGTCCGTACAGGATTTGACAAAACACCACAAAATGCTGCTTTTGCAACAATGTTTTTTTCTGAAGAGAATCATAATGATTTGTTTTGGGCTCAATACTTGTCCTTTGCTGCAGTGCCGGCTCATATTTTTCCCAAACGCTGATTCAGCCTCATCATAAATCTAATTTGGAAGTAAAATAGGGGAAATGGCTGATTATTGCATAAGTTAGTTTAACTTCATTTATTATATTTCTCTTTTATTTTTTCCTCAGGGACCATCCCAGAGGAGACTGTGGAGGACATCAAGGGTCGGTTTGATTAAGTTGCTTTTGGATTTAAGATCTAAACCTCTCACTTTGCTCCTGTGAGGGATCATGCTTTTATTTACTGCCAACAGGCAGCATTCCTAAAAGAAAACAACATAAATAATCCAAACTTCTGTCTAGAGTTCTGTCACAAAATTAGATTTTGAATGAATTCACAATAACGAATTTATCACAATATCTATACAAAATTTGAATAATAATAACAATTATAATGATAATGCTATCAGTCAAATTCATCTTAAACTTTGTTTATTGTGTTTTATATTTTTTTGACAAATAAATTAGACACCAATACAAGTGCAGGGAGCTGGAGACAGAGCCTTTAACCATAACTACGAAAGTGCACAAAAGGAACAATTACACTCAATAGACAGTGAAAAGGCAACTGGATGAACTGATAAACAAAAGATCCACAAGGTCTGACATCTGCCATCACAATATTATCATATGTGTATTATTAACATTATATCAATATTTAATTTTTTAACCATTATTGTCAATTCTGATGTGACATGACAACCCTAACTCAGAGTGTGGCTGCTCTGTCTTCACTATTTCGCCACTGGAATATTATATTTGAATGAACCTGACCTGCCATATTTTTATCAGTAAGGACATGGAGCAAACCAACTGTGTATAGAGCTCCTGAACACATAGATATTTTAATTTTCTTAAATAAAAGCAGTCTGACATTACTGTTTTCAGGATACTCGAGCAGCCTGTTGTAGTTTTCCACTTGTTAACCCCCATGTGTTGACACAAGGATAGGTTTTTGTTTCTCATTTAATTTCTTGTTTAATTGAAAATCCCGTGGGTTTGCACAGAACTATGGTGTGATTGTTTGAATCTTGTTTGGCAGGGAGTTGGAATTTTTTCTTTTATCATTCCAGTCATTCACTTATGTTTCATTGTTGATTTTGTCTTGTTTCCTGCAGTCAGGACATGTTTTGTCAGTGACATGCAGAGAGGCCTCAAGATCCAAGAAGCCAAATTTAACCTGGACGGTACAGCTGAGGTGAATTAAATGTTGCTTGTAAACAGTTTACATCAGTTATCCTCAATCTGTAAAGTAATGTTTGCATTTACAATGTACTGCTTTAAATTTTTTTGAAATTCTCTTCTTTCTTTTGAATGTGTTTGTAGCGTCCGACCCCTCCTCCAGACGTTGATTATCCTCTGGACGGGGAGAAAATCCTGCACATCAAAGGATCGATCAGGTATTTCATCAAAATATGTGCTTTACCTCTGATATTGGCAGTCCTAATTCTAAATAAATTTGCATATTATCTTGTTTTTTTAACATTTAAGTGTAGGCTGTGTTTGAATTTATGAGTCATGTTTCCAACCATAGTCCCTTCAGTCGAATGAGTGTCTGATTTTCATGTCTCCCCAGAATCTTTGCTCATCTTTGCTGTACTTTCCCTCCGAGTGAAATTTGGTTGTTATTCATGAGATCTGCTCCTTTTTTCAAGGGACTCTGTGATGGAGATCCTCTTTGAACAGGACAATGAGGAGAAGAGTGTGGCCTCTCTGATGCTTGATGCTCTGGTCAAGGTAGAGAAAAGTTATTCATTCTGTATGTCCTTGCTTGTGTGAGGGCAAGGTGTTATGTTTATGGGCAGTCACTTACTTGGTCCAGTCTGTTTTTGGATGAATTCTGAAAGATTTAAATACTGTAGAGGTGTATACCAAAGGTTTTTCTTTGTCAGGATAAGAGGAACAAACCTTGATAGGAAACAAGAGTCCTCATCCTCTCAACTCCTTCCACCTTTAGAAAGATTTACATTTCACAGTTTGAGTTTTAATTAGACGATCCTCCTATATATAGTAAAATTCAGCTTTTTTTATTTTCACTTATTTATAGGTTTCTTCTGTTTTTGTGCCTGCATGTTGTGGCAATACTGTATGTTCTTACATGACGCCTTGGTTGGTTGGTGCCTTATTTCATTTGGATTTTGCCTCGTTTAGTTTATGGCCACATATTTTGCTTTAAACTTTCAGTGTCTTTGGCAGAAGGAACGCAGCAACCCAGTTTCTCTCTCCATATTATAGAGCCGTGGAGCTGAGTGGACTGTTTGACTTAGTGTGGTTGCTATGGCGACACTCCGCCGTGGCCATTCCATGTAACTGAGAGCAGTTTTGTTGTTTCGTATGGAGATCAAGTCAAACCAGGACTGCCTAATTAATCTCAAACAGTACAGCAGCAGCAGAGATTACACAGCCTCAGGGTTTGACTGAAACAGCAATATGTTTAAAGCCCTATCAGCACCGCACTCTACACAGGCTGTACTGAAACACAGCGGCTCCCTCGAGGCATCAGGAGAGCTCTTCACACAGAAGGAGGCACTGCAGTAGAGCTATACACAGCAACTTTCATCCATCACATTTTGTTTTAGTATGCACCTGTCCTGATAACCAGAAAGTACTGTTCTCCTGGCTCATCTTTTCTCTTACAGAACTGATAGATTCTGAGAGATTGTCTAAACTGTTTTGTTTACTGATATGGAATGATGAAAGAAGTAATTGAAAAATTAATCATTTGCATATTTGCCTGGAAAAGGCAGATTCTTCATTGCAATTCTCCTCTGAAAATAAGAGGTGATACCTATGCAAATGCTTTAATCTGGTAAATGTGTGTATGTTTTTGGCTTTAGTGCCCCATCGATACCCGTAAAGTGCTCTCTGAGAACCTGGTGGTGATCGGAGGCACGGCCATGCTGCCGGGCTTCCTGCACCGTCTGCTGGCGGAGATACGCCTCCTGGTGGAGAAACCCAAGTACAGCGACGTGCTGGCCAGCAAAAGCTTCCGTATACACGCTCCACCTGCGAAGCCCAACTGCACCGCCTGGCTCGGAGGTCAGATATGAGATTATATTTAAATATTTATCACTACCTGCTGAACTGGAGACTGAGCAAAATTTTAAAACCTCCAGCAATCACCACACACCAGCCTTCTTCAGAAGATTTTGAGAAAATATTATTTGTGGCTCCTCTATATCATTTGCAAACCTGTCTTTATATTCATATTGTCCTCTGCTCAAAAGGTGCAATCTTCGGGGCCCTTCAGGACATCCTGGGCAGCAGGTCGGTGTCACGAGACTACTACAACCAGACAGGTCGCATCCCAGACTGGTGCTGCTTGAGCTCCCCTCCTCCTGAGTCTCTGTATGAAGCAGGGAAGACCCCTCCTCCACTAATGAAGAGAGCCTTCTCCACAGAGAAGTAGAATATGCTGTAACATCATTGAAATAATATACTCTCCTTCTACCTGATAGAACAGTTCAATAATCTTTGATGTAACATCTCAACACACGTCTTGTTAATGTGTTAACTACACAAACAGATCTAGATGTTTTTAATGTCTAGTAGTCACAACAAAGTTTTTGTGTGCAATGATTGTGGGCTGTTTGATGATCAGGTGAGCTGGTTATTGACCTTAACAGACGGAACAGCTAATGGGATTTTTGGCGGTTACATTGATATTCTTCAAGGAGTGTTAAAATTGCTTCTGTGCTACATGCAGCCATGTCTTCTGGTGAAGTCTGATTCAGCAAGGCACTAAACCTGAGAAGCTTACTGTTGTTGAATAACACATACTCAGCAGAAATGTTTCAGATGACTACAGAGTTGGGTTGTAATCCTTCATTCGTTAGCAAAACCACAGGAAATGTTGCGTAGCATCGGAGAAAACTGTAATTATTTCAGTGTGACGTATGATAAAGTGTTGAAATTTCACTTTGATGGTAATACCCCACAGAGTTTTCCAAAAAAAAAGAAAAACTGATTTATTTATTATTTGTATTTAGCCATGTAAAGTTGTATTGAAACGCATTAAACGCCCTGCACACTCACACAGATGTTCTCAGTTTTTCATGGTAATTAGCATCTTGTCATATTAAAGTTGCAGTCGTTAGATGTCAGTCATTATATTAACACAACCAAACAGTCCTGTAAAGAGATGTAATAAAGGTAAATAATTGTGTGTGTGTGTGTGTGTGTGTGTGTGTGTGTGTGTGTGTGTGTGTGTGTGTATACAGGCTTTAAAACATCTTTCAAAAGTGACTTCCTGCTCTGTAACACTCAAATTCAATGACTGCAACAAATAAATATCAAGAACTGAATCTGAATCGAACATGTCATTTTTATCCCCGAATGAAAATGTTTTATAAAGAAATCCCCAAAACAATAGCTATTTTTGTTTGTAGATGCAACCCAACCCTCTGATTCTCAAACGATCAGTTTAAGACCAATTTAAATAAGTGTACCTTTATTCCCACTGATGCTGCCAAAATCACAGTTTCCTTTTTTTTTCACCTTTGTCTCTGAGCTATAAATTTCCAAACTATCATTGGGAAATACCATGTTTTAACAGACTTCAATTTCTTAACATGTAGGAGGAAACTCTGGAGGTTGCTAGCATCATTTTGACTGGAAATACAGTTAACACAAAGGAATGCATATACAGTATCTCACTATATCCATAGTGAGTAGTAAACTGTGTCTATGCAATTGAAACAAGCTATTTTCTTTTCAGAGCCATACGTATGGTAACAGTGAGACCAAAGTGAATGACGCATTTGTTTTCAGCACAATGTTGGTTATTTCCTTGTTCATCCAGCCCTAATGTGCTGTTAATGTCTGTGTGTGTCCCAGAATGGAGTTGCATCTGTTTGGCCCTTTGGGTCACATTCATTGCTCAGTATTGGTCCGACTGGCTACTGTGGGCTTGGGAACCAGTAGCAGCAATACCCACAATGCATCTGCAGCACAAGACTGGCAAAAAAGTCTGGGAAAATGGAAACGGTTTGGATTTTGATCACAGGCATAAAAATAGGCATAAATGTTGAGTGGAGGAGATCTAAAGACCTCAGTGGTTAAACTGTATGTTAATGTAAGGAGGTGTGTTTGTCTTCTCTGTCGTCTTCAGTGGCAACAATAAGCCCAGCATGATAGTACACAGTAAACATGATTTTGGTGATTTGTAGGTGTTTCCAGGCTAAAACATTGCTATGTGGTTGAAAAGATGACCTTTTATAGATGTTTTTCTGTTTCACTCATTTATTGAGCCTCTTTCAACTCCAGAGAGATTTTGGAAAGTAAAATTAATCCTTTGTTTACTCATATGAATGCGGATATTGAGGACTTTGAAGAGTACAGGCCTCCTACCTATGGATGCAGGCAAAGTTTGAGTTCATGTACGAACCATGGACATATTCAGGTTCTCCTTTTCAGACCATATAATTAAAGACAGCTATGGCCTTGCCTACATCCGAGGATGTATAGCTGTACAGCCACACCTGCTGCCTCTGCTCCAGCTGAGGGAAACCCCATCCTCCCTTGATGGGGACTGGGACTGGAGCATCAGTGTGGTTCCCAGACACAGGAAGCAGCAGCTGTCCGTCTGAACTCTGGCTATCAGACTGGGACTCTGAGCAGGAAGGGGACTCCCCGGAAAGTGGGTGAGCCGTGTCTGTAAGGAGTGTTTGCCAACTGTTTTCTCTTTGGACGACTTGGAAGTTCCAAAAAGTTCACACAGCCAAAACCGTTGGTGGACTTACAATATTTAAGGCTGTGGTGAAATGATTTGTACAAACTAGCTGTATTTTGCATTAGATCAGTTACATGCACCCCAGATTCCTACTCTTTAATGAGCAAAATGTTTTGTCATATTTTTTCTGTATTTCCAGGGATATTGCAGAAGATTACATAAGAAAAGATTTTTCCCACATGGCCGGTCCTTCGTCACAGCCTGCATGGAGTGAGAGGTAAATGTGGTGAGAGGGAAGGCATCGTCCATCTTGGTTATCTCCTCCATGGAGGCTGTTTGTCAAATCACATCAGCCCAATTATCCCATAAATCACACTGGCTGTGGAAACACATCTGAGGCCCCCTAATAAATGTAAGGGCACCTCGGTGCTTGTCGTCCACACTCTGCAGAGTCAGAAAACAAGAATTAGGATTTGGCTGGTATCGCTGCACCTGCAGGTTACTCTGGGAAATGAACATAATCAGGAATCACCATTAACTGTAAATTGAAAGCATGTGCAAACCATAAGAAGCCGGCTATTGTGTAATAGCATGGCTAAATCTAGTTATCAAGACGGTTATAGCATTCATGCCAGACATGATAACAGATATGTCATCAGCAGTAAACATGTGATTGTACATAAACAAGCCAAAATCAGGAATGAAGGAGGCTACCTCTGAGACACTCTGCTTATCGTTGCAGCAGAGCAGCTGCATGTTGGCAGTCAGAACAGAGGTACAGGGAGCTCCTCGTACTGTGGCCTGACACTGCAAGCCACTATCTTTGTATCATAATCAATCAGAGAAAAGAGCTACAGCAGTTAAAAAACTATATCACTGTGTTTGCAAGTTTTCGCTCTTAATCTGCACATTGTGTAAATTTTGCATTTTCTCTGAACATTTGGAAATACAGGCTATACAATGTTAAATGTTTAAATGTATTTTTCCTTCTGTCCCAGGAATCTTTAGAGATCCATTAATGTCCATGAAGTATGAAATTCAGATAGCTGACTGAACTTGATTGAGCAGTACAGTCCATCACAGCAGGCATCAAGTCTGTGCTAGTTTTTGTTGCTTTTGTCTTCTATGGATCCATTGTTTTTACTTTCTCTGTTATTTGAAGATCTATCAGCAGTTTGTTTAAACATCCTTGCTTATGGAGTTTAAGAGCAGATTGATTTGAAAAGTCTACACTGTGTTACCTCATGACAATTATGTAACTTGGACAAAAGTCAGACTTGATGCTCACTGTCACAGACTCCACATCAAGTTTAAAGAGTTCCTTAATAATTTTTTAAATAAAGCAGAAATGAATGGAAACCAGTGGGTGCTTTTGAAGGTGGAAATGTAAACTCAAGCAGGTGTAGACAGTCTGCCAATAGATTTTCATGTTGAATGGAAATTTATTATACCATGCCTGGTAAAATAATTAAAAACACCAACAACATAGTTTGTTGTAAAGTACAGTCTGTGCCATTTGTATTTAACGTGCTAAAACATACAAAAGAGCTTGTATGGTCCTGTAACACACAGTTCTACCACAGAGGTCAGCTTGATACAGCTTTTGAGGTTTTATAACAATTCAATACAATAAAAAATAACCTGTGTAGAGATGATAATTCATAGCCTTTGCTTTGGCTTCCATTAATCATGACTCCTACTAAGTGTTTTGTGTTATATGCTACTGGTTATATGCTACCTGTTATATTATCATGAAACTTATATATAACCGAATGCTTGGTTCCTTGGACAGAGTGTGTGCAAATTCAGTTAGACTGGCGCGCGCTATTCATCCCTCCTCTGCTCGTGCACAGGAGAACGGCGCGCAAATCCAAGCTCCAGCCACTTCTTGACCATCTCTCTCTCTCTCTCTCTCTCTCTCTCTCTCTCTCTCTCTCTCTCTCTCTCTTTCTCTTTCTCTCTCTTTCTCCGTTTGTCTCTCTCTTTTTTTTTTTACTTTTTCATTTCTTTCTGACTGACTGGACACGACAGGAGGTAACTTCTTCCCGCCAGTATGCAAAGATTCATCGGAATCTCACATCTTCTATTGGTTCTTCTGGTTCAGCTGGTACCTGCGCAGGTAATTCAACCAATACTATGACATGCCTTAACTGTAATGTCGCTAATAACGAGCCATGTTTTGCTACTTTCCAAGGTTCGCATGATTTGGGAACGGTTTTACCATTCATTGATAAAAAAAAAATATTTAAATTAAATAATTGAAATTTAGTTTGAAATTTAATACGTGATGAAGACAGCATTAGGTTTTCCTTTTTTTAGAGACTCACTGTGTTTTCTCCTCGACTCCAAATGTGACTCCTATTAGCCACTTCACGTGAAGCAAGGAAGCTAAGAGGAGTCACATTTAAATGGCAGACATCCTCAGCCTCGTGTCTCTCTGTGTGGAGGACACATCTGTTCCTCACTCCAGCATTTTCACACACACACACACACACACACACACACACACACACACACACACACACACACACACACACACACACACACACACTATGTTTTGACTGGCTGTGCCCCACTAGGAAGATACCATCTAGAGACATTCAAACAGCGAGCCTCAGATGCAACTGCTGCATGTTACTGATCCAGGTGAAGATACAGAGGTGTACACAGCTACACAGCTACATACTGTATCTGAGAGTGAGAGAAAAAGGGTGAATCTAGAGGAGCATCTGTAATTTGGAGTTAGTTGCTACCTTACTTGACACAGCAGCTGTGGTTTGGAGACTCTGTAGCTCCAAGTCTTGTTTCCTTGGTTGTGATGAGGGTATAATACTCCATGTCTTGATCTGGTTTTGCACAGGTGCTTCCTCTCACTGTAATGGGATGTGACCACAGGCAAGAGACACATTCAGTGTCACCCAGCAGGCAGCTGACTGCACAGTGAATATGCATTGCAGTGTGTGGAGGGAAGCATTAGTGAATGGTGGGAAGATTATTAATGGAATTTGAATTGAGTAGCAAGCTAGAAAATATAAAGGTGGCTCTCATACAGACTGTGGAGTAACATAATCTGTCTCTAATAGTGCAGTCTTACTGGAGTGCTGGTATGAGATCGGTTTGTAAGTATAAAAGTTTAAAGTCATCCGCCAAAGATTGTGAAATGTATTTTTTCCTACTATCCTGAGTACATGTCATTCATGCATAAAGTTCAGCACAAAGTGTTTGTGTGACTCAGCAACAGATCATGAATGGAAATCTTTGTACTTGTGGTATGCAGAGTGGCACAAAGAGTGGAAATAACTGTGACTGTTCAAATACCATTGGTTAGGTCATCATTTTTAATAATTCAAGATTGGGCGTCCCCGTGGCTTGAGGTTGAGACACTGACCACGGCACGGACCGTAGTTCGAGTCTGTTTGGGAACCTTTGTGTCCCGTCCTGTCCTCCCTCTGCTGTCACTGTCTAATAAAGTCTATAAATGAATCCATTAAAAATCCATGTGACCACATCAGTGTCTGAGAAAATGACAACAAAGTCATTCTGTCTTTGTAAAATGCATCCAAAATTTGGAAGAGAAAGACATATGAAGTCAAAGGGTAGAAGAATGCCAAGAACAACTTCTGTCTCATGTCATTTTTTATTTTTATTCAGTTTGATAATAGCTACTGTGGATTTCCCTTGGAAGTTTCTGGTAAGATGCAAAATTAGAGGAACAAAAGGAAAACAAGAGAAAGGACAAGGAAAGCACACAATGTCAGTTTTAGTTACAGTTTGTTATGGAGCCCATTATGTCCAACACGAAGGCACTTCACCATCACACTGTATTGTTCTGACATGTCTGCCTTTGTTCTATGCTCATTACAGCTGTTGTCATGCATCTGGTTCTATTGTTGGATGGTGCTGTACATTTGAGGACTCTGGGTTTGTGTTGTATTTGGCAGACGTACAAACTCACTTACAGCAAACATAACAAACCGACAATAAAACCTGCTGTCCCAGCTATGAAGCATTGTGTTTGAGTTAGAGCAACATCACTGTTCTCAGCCAGGATGAGCAGGAGAGAGGTGAGGAGTCAGAGAGATAGCTGATATTCAAAAGAAAAGAGAGCCAAGATCAACATTGCGCTTGTGTTTCTGCTCGAATTGTCGTTCAAAAATCGGGAACGTTGCCATTGTGAGTTTGGAGGCAGGGTTGTGAGAACTTAACAAAATTCATGCTGTGTCATGACACTTTTCAGTACTGCCTTTGTTTTAACTGTGTTTATTGTGTGTAAAACTCCCAAGAGACGAGGCAGCAGCTATTCTTTGCTGTTATTCTTCGCATACTTTGAAGGTTTTTGCTTCTTATGATAATAAACGTTCTAGTATTACAACAAATTGTGAAACAAATGCGCTTTTGTGGTTGGCTGGCTCATTTTACTGCATTTTTGCTGATCTGCAAACAGCGGCACAGTGGTACACCCTTGAAACCATGCTTCATCACTGTTTTTACTGGATCATTGTGTGTGCACTACCTTTTCTCTGCCACAGGACGGCACTCTGCAACTGTTAAATGAACCCACTGCTGTTGTAATCTCTTTGTTTATGATACTCAGTTTCCTGATTGTCTATTGGTTCTTTATCATTGCAGATATGTTTGGCATTGATGTCATTACTTTCATCAAATGATTTTGACGGATTAATCACTGTAGATGTCCATTTTCACTTATTTTCCATGCATTTTGCAGATTTCACCCCCTCCAGAAGAGGGTTCCACCAAAGGTAAGGGCTGTGTCAGACCCCACTAAACAGGCTCTCCCACCTCTTGGGTGGGAATGCTTTAAAGGTTCAACTTCTCCTCTAGGCATGACATTCCAGGAGGTGTGGGCAAAGAGCATATGTCACCCGATGGAGCAGTTGGTGGATGTGGAGCAGGAGTTCCCCGAAGAAGTGGGGTACATCTACATGCCTGCTTGTGTCCCACTAAAGAGATGTGCTGGTTGCTGCGGAGATGAGAATCTGGAGTGCCATCCTACCCTTGAACGCAACATCACTGTGCAGGTGTAAAAAGACGTCTAATCGTAAAAGGACCTAAAGGGAGATGTTGAAAATGCACTTTCTGTTTCCATTACGTATGTGGTCCTGTATTCAGTTTTAGTTTTTCCCTGTCACTTTTCTCAGATGATGAAGATTGCTCCTGTGATATCAAGCCATGTGGAGCTTACATTTGTGGAGCATCAGCAATGCGATTGCAGGTAAATTACTGACAGCCAATTCTTTCTAATAAACACAAGATGCAGATTTAGGTTTTTATTGCACAGCTAACTGCCAGTTGTTTCTGCTTTTTTGCCCCCCTGTTTATAGACTCCGGCAGACACTTCTAAAAAATAAAAGGTCAGTAGAGGAATATTTTATTTATCAGACTTGAATACACAAGTATCTTCATTGCACTTGGTTCTTCCACCACAGCAGCAGTGAGTCCATCAAGAATAAACCTCGGAGGAGGAAACACAAGAAGACAGCAAACGGCTGTGGCAAGTAAGAGATGGATTGCTCCCCTGTGGCGCTCACACACGCATACACACACAGTTTCATAATGTTTGGACATTTATGGCTACATTTATCACTGTTTCCCTCAGTCTGTCAGACTACCAAGGACAGATGAGATTAAACAATACCACAGTATATTGTCTGCTGTGTTGCTCTTCTCTCTGGCAGGCCTATAATCCACCACCCACTTATGATGAGCTTGCGCTACTGTGTAAGGCCACAGAGCATTTGTTGCACAATAATCCAAGGCTGCTGATAGTTCAAACCAAGGACTGCCAGTGTAAAGGTTTAGTCTGAGAATAACCACATTCACACCAACAGAATAACAGGAAGAAGAACCATATTGCCTAAGGGACTCAATATGCGAGCTACAGCATTAAATCTCATCATCACCTTGATTTGTTTTTGTCACATTTTGGTTAGAGGCAGGAGGCCAAGTTATGTACAGTCCCACAGGCACAGCACACATAATTTTATTCACATTTTAACTATTCAGTATGACTCTAATTCAGAGTGTACAACAGAGTTAAACATATAAGGCACAACTGTGCTGAACTTAAAATTGAAACTCACTAACTGCAGCCAAATCTACTTTGTGCACAAGTGAAAATACATTTTTTGAACAAGAACTGAGTGAACTTTCAAGCTCAAACAATTCAGTTCCAGAACAATATCAGACCCCCTCATTTTGCAGACAGAACCAAGAGTTATATGTGCGGTGAGTTTGGCATTTTGTTTGTCTGTGGTCTCTTTTCACATAAAGGTCAAAAGTAATCTCTCTGTGCCCCCTCCCCTCTCAGAAATTGTTGTGTAACCAATTGTGAATAATTGTACAATGAAGACATTATCAAAAAGAGTGGCATGCTCAAAATAAAAACTGAAAATCCCACATATGAAAACCAGTACAACTTAACCTGTGTAAGCATTTGTAAAATATCGTCTTTGGCTTTAAAAGAAGCTTTGTAAAGTCAATGAAAATGACCCCTATGATGTCATCATGGTCATCACCAAGCTTGGGCTTGAGACTGCAAATTTTTACTAGAAAGAGTTTAAACTAGAGGTGTGGGATTTGAAAAAAGTAGGTCATGCACAATTTTATCCAGTTGCATTATGGGAATGGTAGGAACCGGGACATTTAGAGCTTGATCCATATAGGGAGTGGACTACAGAATATCTCATCCTCTGTGTTTTACTACATCAGTTTTTAGCATTCTTTCTTTAACATGTAATAATGCATCCAGAAACTCAGGGGAAAGGACCCGAATACAGACACACAGACGCAGGCATATTCAGAGGAGCGGTCTTTAATAATTGAAGATAATCTTACAGGCAGAGAGATGAACAAAGGTGAGTAGCTGAGCTGGCAGGAAAACCAGTAACCAGAGCAGTCAGACTGACAAAGAGTGAAGGGAACACAGTCTAAATACACAAGGGTAATTTGGAATAGGTGAAACCGACGGATGTGGGGCAGGCACAAGGGCAGGAAGTAAAGCAACCTACAGACACACAAGGTAAGTAATTTCAAAATAAATCAGGAAATAACAGTCTAGGCAGGTTATAACATAACCCATCTCTTCTCAAATCCTCCAACTTTATGAAAGTGCTATGCTAAATCACTGGATATGATCACATTTCCAGTCTATCTAAAACAATACTCACATTCCCATATGACTGTTGAAACTGTTTTTGGTCTATATAATTATTCCTCCAGTCCATAATGACTGCTAAGAGATCCCTTTCTTTATTTCTCAGTACAAACCGAAACAAGATTTATACACTTGGGGATTTATACACTTGGGGGGGACTGTTTGGAATATGATGAAAAAAACCAACGCATTTTTAATCTGGGGTGAAACCGTGATAAAGTGTGTTTACAAATGTAATCAGCTTAGTGTGGACGTACATTGAAGCAATTCTAGTCTAGGTGTTGAAGGACAAACTTTACAGTTCTGTGCGACAATGCATTTCAAAGTTAAGCAAAAGCCAACATGAGGCTCCAGCAGATTCAATTTGACAAATCAGTTTGGGATCTTCCAAAGTCTTTATGTAATCTCCCTTTTGTGGTTCTTCACCACAACTCAACATAGAAACATTGTCTTTAGATACACAATGCATTTTTGCACAGGCTGTGAATTTTGTTGCCCATCACTTTGGAACCACATTATGAAGAGACCTCTTCACTGCCACTGTATAATTAAGTTGTCTTGTAAGTATTGCTTTAAAACAGATTTGAAAGAATGTGAACCTAGAGATCTGTATCATCACTATTGGAAATGTCACGTCTTGCTCAATCATTGAAGCACATAAACTTTTCCTTCTTGGGGAAAAAGGAACAATGGGTGACTTTCAGTAGGTGGGATCTGTACTCTATCTGGTGAAAACTAGGTTAACTGGTTGAGGTGGTGACAATAGGGTTTCACCATGTCCTCTTTTAAGAAGGAGAATGAGGATATAACTTATCCAGCAGCCTTAACAGCCTTAACAGCCTTAACAGAGTTGGAAAGAATCCATCCTCCAAATCAGCCCTGCTAAACCAGATGATGAACTTGATGTCATTCTGGGAGAAGGTTGTTTTTGGTGGTGGTCTGTAGGATTTTCCCCCACAAGTGTGTTATTGATGGTGTAGCAACCTGTGTGGCAATGCAGCTCTGGCTGTGGTTAAGTCAAACAATACTAATGATTCACCATGACTCGTATTCCTTTGTAAACCATATAGTTTAGAGCCACATGTCCATTATCTCATGACCCCTCCACCCTATGTTTAGTGGTCAAAGGGCCGCACAGTCGCAGAGATTTTAATTTCTTCCAGCTGATTCAGAGGCCCCAAATTGTATGATGCAAGCACTGAACAGAAACTAAACTGGAGTTTAACTTCCTACATCAAATCTGAAGGATAAACACTCTATTTGATGTTGTTATGATCACTTCATTCTTGTAACAACTTTATTTGACAGTTGAAAGTGAAATGGCAGACAGAAATCATAGACCTGTGGAGGTTGTATGGACTGTTTGGCTACTGGGGTGCTGCTCTTATGACATCCTTAAAGTGAATGTTTAGGCCTCTACTTTGGTTTTACAGAAGGACAATTTGCCTTCTCAATCTACAATGAGAAATGCCACTTCACACAGATGCTGCGGGACTCCTGACCCCATGGGCCCCTGGACCTGTGCCCTATTGACCTGTTTTGTAATCCATCCATAAGTGTTAAAATTATCACTTGGTAGTGTTGAGAATGCATTTTAGCACAATAGTGGGACTCATGACTTTCAGAGTCCTCATGGAACTAGTTGTACTATTGCCTGTAGAGCACTACTAAATCCAGGCTAGGGAGAACAGACTGGCATGTATTTAATCTTCAAGCTGTGTATAGATGTTATTAAGTGCTATAAGCCATGAAACTGCTATTTCTCATTTGTTCACTAATTTTTGAACAAGCCATTCAGATTGCCTCATGGTGTGATTCCACACTGAGAACAAATAATGATATTCAGTTACTAGTTATTCCAGTTCTGGGGCTGAATCAGGTTTGTATACTGTATCTGGTCTTGTGTGTGGTTAAATGGCCACATCCGAATTGGTGGAGGGGGAATGGGCAGCAATGAACAAGCTACATTGAACTATGGCTCATGAAAAATTTTGTTAATTAATGAATTAATCAAATGCTCTGCTGCTGAGTTGGTTTAGAAGATTTGAATTACCAATTTGAATCTCTGTGACTGTTTATTTTTGTCTTTCCAGGTGCCAGTTCCCTCAGAACAAGATAAGTCTTCACTGATTCACACATCTGTGCAAAGTTTCATTTGGATGAGTGACTTTGGTGTGGTGAACAACAGCACATCTGTAAATTAATCACAGCTGACCATTTATCTTCTGTCCCAACACGTTTCCTCATCTGGCGGATCCATCAGAACGTTCAGTCTTGTCCAGGACATTATTTTCTTTTTTGGTTAATCGCAGTATCAAAGCAAACACCCATCTCTGCAAACTCACTTGGCTCAGACTGCTGCTTTTAATTGACCAAAATAAATGTCATTTTTTATTTTAAAAATCTAGCTGCTTTTGTTTGAAGTTGTAAAAATAGACAGGGTACAACAGTATATACAGAATAGGTATGGAGATAATGGGTGGAATGCTTTGAGCTCATCCGTTGCGAGGTGAAAGGACTAAAGCCTCAGTCCATCCTGAAGTGTTCAATGATTAAGTGTCAGATCATCCTGTCAGACCTTCTCCATTACTTCATGTTCATTGTGACTTTTGCAGAGACTTGTGTTATAACTGTTGGGAAACCAATTTTTTTCTGGTGCAAAGCTATAGACACTGAAAAAAGACATCATCTATGTTACTTTCTGTATGTAGTGTTATTTTTGTAGAAGTGTCTTCTGATCAGCACTGAATCCACTCTGTCTTATCATGGGCCCTGGTAAGTTCATGAAATAAAATGCACTCCAAATACAATGAATCTCTGTGCTATCTACATTTGCATTAGTAGACTATTAGGGTCTGTTACATGTGAGGCCACTGTGTGCTCTTTATCTGGCATGGCTCTGTAGTAAGCACACTGTTAGCAAAGTACAAGGGATACTGTTGATTCATAGCCTTTTTGACACATGACATGATAGAGGTGCAGTTACATTGAACACCAAAAGAAATCAATATCAGGCTCCCTGTACAACTTGTTGAATTTATGGAAAGTTAACATGATTTGAATTAATTAATGAATTAATCAAAGTAACAACCCTATTCTAGTTTTGTTATAGATTTCACATGGGTACAGATAAGGTAGTTTTTAATTTTCCAAACTTTCTAATCCTACTTTGTGAAAGCATTTTCTTGCAGCACGTGAAAAGCCTATTATGCTGCTCATTCGGTAGCACTGTTTTGAGGTTGTCTTCTCACCCTGGGCATGTGTGCACACTTCAAACAGAAACCTTGCAGAATCCTCCATATTCAGCATAACTACACGTGAGTACGTTTTGTTCTGAGGGGCAGTGTTTTGTTTACTTCTTCAAACATGGAGACTTGCTCAGCTTAGGTTAGCTGTAGGCCAACCAGGCTGTTATGTAATACACCAGAACATTACGCTCCAAACTGTACGTCACTGGATTCCCCGGACGGTACATTTGAGATGCCTGCACTGCACTGTACACTAGAGTACACCTAACTGCACAGCGAACACAATGTCCTCAACTTGCCACACATTTAGCAGTGGTCACGTTTTTCAGCTGCTGGCTGCGCCGGCCAATCGGAGGCCAGGAAATGAAGCAGGTGGGCGGGCGTAGCAGCCTAAAATTGTGACATATCTGGTACTCCAGACAAGGCCACACCCTTAACTACCAAATATGGCAGAGTGACTCTAACGAATATCCTGTCCCTTGCATTTTTTTGCCGTCCAGGAACAATTGTCGGTGGGTGAGCAAAACCCCACAGGTCGTCGGCAGCCTACTTTTCGTTTTGCCTGTCGCAGAGGACAATTAAATTGCAACCATTAACGGTTGTTGCCACCGTGCTCCGCATGTGACCGAGCAGACAGGGGAGGGGCGGTTTGTCTCGTGTATAGTACCGTGGAACACCGAGTTCTAGTCAACGTAGCTGAGCAGCAGCAGCAGCAACGGCCACACCGAGGAAAAGAAGTCGCCGAGACACAGGAGACTCCTCGACCCGGCTGTAAGCTCGTATCCCTCAGCTTTGAAGACAGCCTCGTTGGAACAGCGCCAAGGACAAAGTAAGCATATCCTTTTGTATTTCTCAACCGTCTCGTCGTATTTTTGTACATACTGTGTAACGTTACTTTGTGCCAATTTACGGTCCTAACGTTAGCTTTGTATTTAACCGTTAAGTCAGTGCGGAACGAAGCTAATCAAAGTGCTAATTTTAACCGCGCATCCGTCTTGTTTGCTTTCTTGAATTGCACAGTCGCTTTTAGTTAGCTACATCGTATAGCTACCAAATTATACACCATAATAAAGTACGTTTATCTCTTTCATTGTATGGAATAATAATTATTGTTAATTGAGGCTTTACTTTAGCCTAACTAATACATTTATGTCTATTTGACAAGGGTTTGTGTGGGATAGCTATGACTTTTGGTGTTGTCATTTATTTACGTTAATGGTACAAGTGGAGGGTAATAGATATGCTATGATAAAATGCCAACATTATAAGGCTTTCGTTGTTTATTACTATTATTTATTATTATTTATTCATCTATAGTCCAGTAAAGTAAGAAAAACTAGCTAATGTAGCAACACCAGGAGGAGGCGTCATTTATTTCACGAAATTATTATTAATATTATAATATTGACATGCTGGCCTGTCCTAACTGAATATGTTAATGAGGACCTTTTGTATTTTTATGTATGTATATATCAGTACACAACTATTTTTGTATTTTGTAGTTGATATGAAAAGAGTTTCTGCTTAATCCTGTTTGATTAACAAAATGTAGCCTTTGATATGCTGATGTAGTTGTGAGAGCTTGTCGAGCCAAGGACATTGTCAGTACAGCAGGAAAGGAGATGAGCACCAAGAGGAAGGCAGAGAGTCACTCAAGGGCAGGAAGCAGACCACACATCATGAAGTCTGGTAACTCCCGGGCCGATTCAGAGAGAGACTCTGGATTCTCAGGTTCGTCCTTTCTCTTGACACAGTGTTATGTGCTTTTTCTATAAGGTATCATTCAACTGAACCCTAGTTATTCTTCTTCCTGGCCTATAGATGCAAGCTCTGAGCATATGAGTACTATGGATACCACAGACTCTGAGGATTCACCCCACCCCGTTGGACAGCAGGGACCGCAGACTTCTGGGTCAGTGCCCCAGCCCTCTCAGCTGGCTGTGGTGGGAGGTTCCTACTCCAGCCTATCTCCCATGATCATCATGAACAATGTCCTTCTGAAGCAGGTACGCAGCAAGACCTTAACTCTTAAAAGATAAAACCTCATATTATTAGATTGTCTGTGTGGATGAATTAGAGTATTAAGCCTTAGGCTTTTAACATCAGGTAGTGGTATAATCAGGTTACAGCGGGGAAGTTGTGGTCCAGTTTTATTGTGCCAGTGTATGTGTCTTCACAGTCCAGTCACAAAAAAAAAAAAAAAAAAACACAATGGGATGTAACGTTAATTTAGAGGAAACTTTTTAAGAAGCTGTGTGTGCTTGGATGTAAAAGAGATAATAATCATCTGTAGGGTTGCCACCATTTATGTGAAAGAAGGTGGCAACTGGTTTGGTTTTACTTGATATTACATTATTCACAGCACGTTGAGGACATAACATTAACAAAAATAAGGGACAAATTGCATCCCGTATTGATTCAAATCCACCGAGTACCGAGTAAACAAGTACTAGAATCATTTTATTTTCAAGTACGGGACGATCCCGTACTATTCGGGACGGGTGGTGGGTGACCGGTGGCATTCACCTGTTTGTAGAGCCGCAAAATCAGGTCACCGGCAGAAAATCCAGTGCGTTCGTATTCTTCTTTGGCAATTTTGGATGGCTCTGCCTGATGCACGGATTACGATACAGCGCCACTACATTGCCGTAGTGGTGTACAGCCGCAATTGCATTTACAAACGTCAAATCCACCGAGAAAACAAGTACTAGAATGTTGACAGGAGGTGGAGGCCGCACGAAATTTGACGCAGGCGGCCGCCTCCTAATTCTCTATGGAGGAAAAACCCTGCAAATATGTGGTTCATATCATTGTAAAGTGTATAATTTATAGGTGCACATGTGAAATGTGTGTGATGGGTGTGCCTTCCAAAGCTCTAAGTTTTGACTCTGTTGCCTTTGCAGCCTGGAGACAATCCTCCTCCTCTGAAACCCTGGGGGTTTAGTCCCACAGTGGAGGTGGTTCAGCCTGTGGTTCAGCCCGTGGTCCAGCAGCCCCAGGTGGTCTTCCTCCAGCCTGTGGTCTCTCGCCAAGCTTCCCCTGCCTCCAAAGAGGGCACCTCCAGACATAGACGCCCTAAGAAGTATCTTCCAATCCTGAAATCTTACCCCAAAATTGCTCCACATCCTGGAGACAGCTCCAGTTCCTCTGGGAGAGGAACTGCTTCCTTATCTTCACCCTCCTCCATGTCTTCCTCCTCCTCTTCTACCTCCTCTTCTTCGGGGTCGAAGAGAGGTAGCAGTCTGACATCCAACCACCGTGACCACTGTCAGAAAGAGAAACAGCCAAGAAGTCTGTGTGGTAGTGCTAATAACTCTAGCTCAACCATTCCCAGTCTTCCTGGTACCCCTGGCACCATGTCCCCTCTGCTCCAGAGCCGACTGTCTTTCCCCACAACAGAAACCAGCGCTAACAGTAGTCCTGCCAGGGAGAGGCCTTCATCAACTATCAGCCAGTCAGAATTTACCTCCTCCCTTTCTTTCACTCACACCACTGGTTCCAAAAACCAGGCACTGCCTGTTCCCCAGATGGGCACCCTGGAGGAGTTCTCACCAGGAGAACATGACCACATCGACAGTGATGCTGATTCACGGAGGAAGCGCTTTTGCAACACCTACAACATCCTGAACAAATCTGGCCTGCTAGACATCACGCTTCGCACTAAGGAGCTTCTCAGGCAGAACCGACGCACCCAGAATGACCTAGACCGGCTAAAAGAGCACACAGACCTCTTCCTTCAGGCTCTGCGGAGCGGTGACCCTAGCATCTGTGTCAAGCTGCAGGCCAGCCTTCAGGAGGAAGATGGAGGAAAAGAGAGGGAGAGAGCTGCTCAAACCAGCTTAAAGGCAGATTAGACCTAGACTATTGCTAGATAATAAGACTTTAGATTGAGATGGGGAAAGGAAAGCCAGGGTTGGGGGTTGGAGTGTACAGGGACAGATGGGCCGAAAGTAATGTGCTCCACTATACAGACCCACCCCCCAGACTCTCACACAGACAGTGTGCTGTGGCCTATATTTTGGCTGTTGCCTGCCTTAGGGCCCTGACACACCAAGCCAGCCTCAAACAATTGGTGCACATATAGACTCTATGTGGCTCACGTCCTCTGTAAAAGTTGCACTTGAACTCAGTGTAAGGTGTTAGTTGGTGGCCATCAATATGCACATATATTCTGCACCTGCATGAGAGGAAATATCTTAGTAATTCAGAAAACCTCATGGAATGAGAAGCAAAACAATTGTTTTGCCAGTTTGCTAAAATTGTCTTATTACATAGTCAGATTATGAATTGATAATATCAGTATGTCTCCTTAAAAAGTTGCCTGTAAACATTACTTTGCCCTTACCTGATGGTGTGAAAGGGACCAAAGGTCCAACAAGGCCAAAACCACAGCACACTGCTCTCTTCAATTGAAATGGCCTCTCTGCTGCACAGAAATCTTTTGCTCATTGGCAATCAAGACCCAAAAACCCAGAGAGATTTGGATCTAAGGCATGAAGGGATGAACTAATTCAAAACTTTTTATATTGTATGCACAATACAGGCTTGAAAGCTTGATTAAAACCCCTAAGACTGGATATTTCAACTTCAACAGCGTGACAAGGTGTTTTCTTATAAAACTGAAAAATTGTGATGACAATGAATTAGGTCGACATTTCTGTTGTTTTAACAGTCTTGTATCATTCATGGTATTTCTTTAATCTGCGTTCCACTGGTACTGATATACTGCTTAATGGACACCAAGTTAACAATCAGTAAGTGTGGATAGGCTTAAAGAAATGTTGTCACATTGAATGTGTTGAGGGCCTCTTGCCAGTCAGCATCTTCAAAACAAAAAAAAGATAAACATATGCCTCAAGTGTCTCTTCAGTTCCTGCTGGGTTTTAAAACTCCATGAGAAACATTTGGCACAGCCCGTTGATGGTTTCAAGTTTAGCATTCCCATCATGTTGATGGCAGCTGTAATACAGGGCAAACTGGCTGAAAGTAAAGCTCTTAGCAGCCATTTAGATGCTTCCCTGATAACATCCCAGTGTAAAGGGTGCTTCCTGTAGCTTGATGAATTCCCTCATTTGTGTGTGTGTGTGGTGTGTTTTTACACACACACACACACACACACACACACATATATATATATATATATATGAGTGTGTGTGTGTGTGTGTATATGGATGTAATTTAATTCAACATGTATGAAATATTTGTGAACTTTTTTCCGCTAAGACAACCATCGAGTCAGGTTTCTTGATGAAGACCAGTTATTGTGCATCAACTTTAGTTATGCTCTCACGTCCATCTTTTTATTTTTTATTCAACAAAAACTCTAACGGTTGCAATGTCTAAATTGGGAACAGATGTGTCATTTTTTAATGTTTTATTAGTACCTTTTTGTACGTTTCTAAATTATGGCCTTAATATCCAAACCCTGTATATGTCACAGAACTTTGCATTTGCACTAAAATGATGTAAGAGTAGCTCTGAAGCAATTTCTGTGCAGATTTAAATGGCAGCTATGGTAGCTCATTTGGGGTGGACTGCAAAAGTTTTTTGTTTAAATTACTTGAAGTGCATTGTGAGTCATCATAAGCACACTACCCATGTATATGTACTACTCATATAGTACAGCAATGCATTTACATTGTCAGATTTTATTATTACTAACTGTTTCTCAGTATTAAATATGCTTTTGCGTAATCATTTTATTCAACCAAAATAATATGTGATGATGTATTTGCTGTGCTTATGTTGACTTAGAATGGCTCACCAGGAACATCTCAAGCAAGAGATATTTCCTAGTCTACTTTTGCCATCTTAACCCATGTACATCTGAACATAAATAGTTTTTTAAAAATGCTGTTGTAAGGGTGTATTCTGTAAAAATACATATGTGTTTGAAGGTCTTTGTCACACAAACAAAAACTCAGATATTTGGCCACTTTTGTAAATTAATCGTGGGTGTTCTGATGATACAAATCTCTTGCGTTTTAACACTGCAAATTAATCAGTATGTTTCAGTTTTAGATGCTCCCAAATGAGATTGGAAGTGTGTTTAGGGTCACTTTCCTGCTGGAAAACTGTGCTGTGTTTAACATTCAGCCCTGTGTTTGATAGTTTGAGGTTGCACTGAAGGAGTTTGAGGTCATCTTATTTACTCCCAATTTTCTTTTCTGCAGTGCACCAGTTCCACTGTTAGCAAAACTGCATTGTACAATGTTCCGCAGCAAACTTAAGTTGCGTTTCTAAGTTTTTGGTAGATTTTTGGTGCAGAGGCTTTTTTTTTTTGCACAGTAGATCCTCAGTTCATGGTATTGTAAACAATCTGCAGGGTTCCACTTTGTTATAGATTACATAATGGTGGTTCTGGGATTGCGTCTGACTGTGCTGACTAACATTTGTTATCTTTTTCCTGACTTTCTAGTCCACTGCTCCAAGTGTTTTGTACTTGAGTTAAATTATTTATACAGTAATTTGGATTATAAGGATGTTTCGCTGCCTCTGCTTTCCCTATATCTGAAATGACCATCTTATATCTTCATATCATAATGAATTTGTTTCAAGCTAATGATTGCAGTTGGACTGTGTCCTTTTGCACAGACACAGATAAGTTTCCAGCAGTATTCAGTAATAAAAACTATTGTAACACTTTATTTGGATAGTCTGTCTATAGAGAGTTTACAGAGTAATTGTAACATTTCAACAGGTTATTAGCTGATTCAACAACTCAGCTGTTGAGCTAACCCTAACCGTTAAATGGTTAACTAATTGTTTATTGAATATTTGTACATTGTTGAAGTAATACTCTGTAAACTCTATAGGCGGACTATCAAAATAAAGTGTTACCAAAACTAACAAGCTGTTGAGAAGATTAAAAAAAAAAACGTTGAATGCATTGAATGTATTGTATAGTTTTAATCCGGGGATGTTCAGAAGACCCACAATACATTTATGAAGGAACCTAAATATATGTTTTATGTTTGTGTGCCAAAGATGCATGTTATTCAAAATGTCAGAAAAAGAAGTTTCAGCAATAATTTAAATTCTTCGTATCTCTTACAAGTATGTAAACCTTATGATCTCAGTGGTTAATGTTTTTTTTTAAGCTGTCAACTCAAAGTTTTAAAAACCATATGCATAGCTTATAGCAAAACAATTTTTGATGCATGGAAATGGAACATAATCTTTTGACTTTTCATATGGCTGTACTATCTTTGCTTTGTCACTGTAATGAAACAGTAATTTGTTTAAATACCACGTGTCCTTAATGAAGGCCTTATTGAGACATATGAGCCAGGACAGCTGCAAGACTGCTGGCACTATTTTGGTCTTTTGCCTTGGCCAAAAACAAATGCGTTTGAGCTACCCTTTCCTTATTTCTTGGACCAACGACACACCTCACATTTACCTAAACTTTCAGAATTAATTTAACTCTTGCAGAGCAATTCCTCCTCAATCAGATACACAGATGCTTAATTCTTGGAATTGATGTTGATGTTGTGCCTGAGTCTTTAAATCTTAAAAATGATTTGATGGCCGCCTGCTGAAATTATATCTTGCTGTCCTGACCCTGGGTCACTGCCAGTGGAATAAATGATGGTACTAAAATATCAAAAAGGTCAATTAAGTTTTGGCTGAAAATAGCACAGTGACACTGGTCATGTCTGTCTTTTTTAAGAGCTTTTCCTGTCTGCTGCCATCAGCTTTTACTATAGCACATGTATTTATTAGACAAAGGTTAGCATCAGTTCACTGTTTGGTTTTGTTTACAGGGGTCCGCACTGGTGTGGTTACTCTTTCGTGGATCCTGTTCATATGACTGACTATTTATTGACTGAAGTTCTATCAAACCATAAGTCTCTAATGCCGCAATTATATATGCTACATGCTGTGTCATGGATTGTTATCGATGTTGATGTGACATGATCATGCTATATGACCACAATTATCTGTTTCAGAATTAAGAAGTTCATAGGAGTAAAGTCTGTTTTGCTTGTACAGTTGGACACGTGTAATTTTGTAACACTGGATTTTGAGTTTTTCATCTAAATGTTGGCAGCTTTGTTCCCTCAGTGCATTTCAGTCTGCCTTCTTTCATTTTACAGATGCTGAAAATGTTTGTGAAAAGGATTGTGATTATTTTATTTAAGATGTTTCAGTAGTGCACCAGCAGCAGTGATGGAAAATATAAGCCTGAATAATACTTTTTTTTTTTTTTTAATGTGAAAAACATGATGGATTCCATTATGCTGACTAAATGTAGTTTGGCCTGCTGGAAATCTTGTTTCTGTTCAAAAACTGTAAATGCAGGAGGTTTATATAATCCTCATGGGACTTGCCACTATGGAGGATTTACCAAAACATCAGTTTCAACACCTGAGAAGACTTTTTCAAGATAATGACTCTTCAGCTATACCAATCAAAGATGAATAAACTAAGATTGAGAAAGGGGTTTGAATTTATGTGCTGTAGGGCTCATTTTGTACATTTTAAGTTAGAGATGCATTGCTTGTGTAATAAACATCATTCCAAAGAAAATTGCTCAATGTGTCCAAATTAATGCTATCACTTCTCAGTCCTCAGTTCAGTCACTATTTTTAGGTTAAATGGTAAGGAAGAGTTAAGCCTTGAATCTTGGATAGAGATGAGAAACAGGAAGATAGAATTTTATTTTGGAGTTTTCCACACACCTCTCTCATCACATTATACTGTGAAAGAGCAAGCAGTTAAACAGAAATCTGTTCTTCGATCACAGATGGACACCACACACACGGAACAATGTGTGGATTCTGCAGACAAGGATTATATTTCAAGATCCTTAAAGCCTATTGTGCATCTTTTACACTGCAGTGAAATGTTATATAGTTTTTTTTTTTTTTTTTTTACATTTTTGGATAGAACTAAATTATGTGCTTGTTGTAAATACCCCAAAATCTAAAATATATGTGGCGTAATTTTACTGAAAATGACTTGAGGTGTTGATTACTAATTATTGACACCTTTGATAGAGATGAGTTTTACTCTCTAAATGTGTTAACATACCAAGAATGAACTGTTTGATTTGTGCAGTGGTTGAAAACTGTTAACATAAGTAGAGGCTAAGAGTCTAATTTATCTCTAAAGCTTTCTGCTACAGCAGATTCATTCTTCACAAATCATACAAAATACCCAAAATACCACAGGGAATTATACAAAGCATTACAGGAAGCCATTAAAGAAAGCCTGTGGTGCAGGTTATATTTTCTTGAAGCAGAGCTACTATTATATCTTTTATAATTAATAATATATAATGTATAACATACTAGAATCACATACAGGCTCACTGCAGATTATGCCCTGAGAAATTAACTAAAATATAACAAAGAAATCAATAGTCCTGATCAGGCTCGATGCTGGCATGTACTCAATACAAAAGGATCATTAGCAAAAAAGAAAGAAAAAAAATTAAATCCCTTATTTTGACTGTGCTCTTTATTTTTCCAACATTAATTATACTCACTTTATAAAGAGACTTTGGCTTTGGGCACCTTGACATTGGCCTGTGATCAGTAGTCCTTCAGTAACCCATCCTTGCTCCTTCCCCAACCCCTCCTATAAAATGGCACAGCCATTTGTAGTCATTTTGTGTAATCTGTTAGTGTGGTCTTTTTCTTGTCGATTTGTCTTTTATAGTTGTGTTTTTTGTTGTTGCTTCATTGACTTTCTAACAATAAATGAGCCTCTGGCGTAGAGGTCTCCTGAAACCCTGGGCCTGTGGGCCCGTTTGGTAATCCAGTCTCAGTCTCTTCTTTAAATTTTAACTTATTTGCAGAAAATATAGTTATTTAAACAAATACAACACACTAGTCACTAGTTTTCAAATGATCATATGATGTGAGGTTTTTCACCTTAAAGTGTAGATTACAGCTTTGACCACTGGATGGCGCCAATGATACGAGATCCTTTTGTGGAATACGCGGAAATGTCTTAAAATTGTTCCATCGGTGTCTCCGTAGGACAAACCTGCTACTCTGTTTTGAGACAATCATTAAGCTAGCTGTTCCCACACTGTATCTCAGTTACGCTACTATTACAAGGTAAACTAATTAGTTTAACGTCACTGGAGATAAAATGGGGTTAAAATTCATGCATATTACATCGTCAGCGGCCAGGCTTTGAGGCTGGGCAGCCAACATCTGTCTGTAGCCCCGGTGGCTAGTTTTGGTAACTGCTTACCCTGCTAGCTAAGTTAAGAAGGTAGCCGGTCATTTGTCAGTTTTACCCACAGGTTGTATATAAGCCTGAAGGGGGGCTGTCGAGGTTTAGCCACATTTAGCTGTAATTTTTGACCGTCTAGTTTTTGGTATTTAACTTGTTGTCCGTAGCTGTGAGCTGGCAAAGTCGAGACGTTTGCTTGACGTTTTGTCCTGTTGTTTGACCGCAGAGCCTGCGTGATGGTTTTGACTCAAAGATGACCAGCACCCTGAGCGTATGACCGACAGAAAATCTTTCACTTAGCAGGTCAAATTTAAGGTAAGTCTTGTCTTTATTAGACTTCAATCGTAGCAAATTTCGGTGCGTTTGATGTATCAGGGGTTATCCCATTATGTCACAGGTTCCACACAGGGTGACCCATGCTTTCTGATGAGCTTGACTCCAAACCAGAGGTAACGTTTTTGTCATTTTCATGCTCCAGGAGACTCTATTCTGACAGACAGCATGGTGTAAGACACGAGTTTCATATCCTGACACCTGTTTCCGTGTGTGTTTTTCCCCTCAGCTGCTGGTGCAGTTTGTACAAAACGCTTCCATCCCGTTGGTGCAGGGTCTGGAGGACTCGGAGTCCAAACACTCCTGCCTGCCTCTGCTGGCTCCAGCTGAGAGCTCACTGTGCAGCCCGCTGGAGCTCACAGGTCAGCAGCTGCTCAGTGTTACAGCTCTTTTCATGTTCTCTACACGTTACTCATTTTGACTTATATTGTGCCACAATAGAACACAAGTTGTTGTTTTTTTGGTTTTTTACTGTTGTAGCATTTTTACTTTGCAATTGGTCGCACAGCTGTTGTAGAACCTGAATAAACATTTGATACTTCTGCTCAAGACAGCCAAATGCTTTCAGGCCTACATTATTACAGTAAGCTCTGACAAGCTTCACCTCACTCTACTCTGCCGAAGCTGTTTCAGCATCCATAGGTTTGCCATTTGACCCTGTGGATTGATAGATGTTTTATGAATTGTCTGTGTGTGAAATTTCCGGTTAATGGATTTTAAAAATAACTAGAATGGCATACCTCCACCAACGCCATACAACCCTACACATGTCTTTCAGATCCAGATAATTATCTGGATCTGCACTAAATTGTACAAATTCATAGATCTTAACACCATAAATATGTCTGACTTTTACATCAAGATCCCAACAATATTTCCTGAAAAACTGACAAAAGTGGTAAAAAATCCCCTATCTCGCTATGTTCAGAAAAGTGATCCTGAATCCGCCTCCTTAACTGGCACCAAAACTTGATGTGCTGTTTTATATTAACAATGCCCAATGAAGTTTTTATTAAGCAAATACAGTTTTGTTCATTTTCATTTGTATGTGTCAAAGACATTCTGAAATCTGCATTGTTGACAGTACATCCATATTTGCAGAAATGGTCAAGAATGTCAATTATGTCATTTGTGAGTGTGCTTGTAGAACATGATACAAACATAATATTGCGCTATAGAAAAAATATTGGTCAGAATATCTAGCAGGGTATCCCACACATTTTTTAAATTGTTTGGACCTAATGTGCTTTGTTCTACACTGGTCAAAATCTAACAAACGCTGATTTCCTCCTCAGATGGAGGCTTGAGCCATGAGCCTGAGAGTTCTCCATCCCTGTCAGAGTTCGGAGGTGTGTCGGAGCGGAGCCCTTTAGTGGTCCAGACACACTCACACTCCCGGGCCTCGCCCAGCCCACCGCCCATCCTCCATGACTTACAACAGTCAGACAGCACTTCCTACGTCCTGCTGAACCTTGCGAAAGGTAAAGAAACAGCAATCTGCTAACATACTCCTGCCAGAGTCTGACAGTCACACCCACCAAGCACCAGATTGCAGTTTTTTGTGAATAATCATTCAGTCACATCATTTGAATGCTTACATTTTACATCTTACATTTACTCTAGCACTAAAGAAATGTGTAGGATCTGTATTAATAAAAGGGGAAGAATGAACATTGCCGCTTTTTACATAGCCTAATTATAGCAGAAGCAAGGTAACGGGCAGTTTTCTGTTGTGACATTTTCTAGGTCAAAGGGACAACTGAAAAAAATAAATGAGAGATTAATCGATAATGAAGATAATTAACTTAAGCCCTAATAGAAACCTGACATTATTCCAGTGTGATGGGCCACTTTCTGATGAATCGTAATAAAAGTTAGAATGCAAGTCTGATCTTGTGTCTGTACTTTGTGTCTCGTTCAGCTCCTGATTCAACACTCAGGACTAAAAAGAAATTGGGTGACACATTTTCATGAAAAAAGTGTGAATTAGTTTGGTTGGAAGAAATCATCCTTGGCGGGCACATTCTCTTGCTTTAGCAGCCCGTGGCAGGAGAGACAAAAAATTAAATTTGATCTCTTGACATAAACTTTTTGTGCATTGTGACTGAGTGAGAGATGTGAAGGACAGAAGAAATTTTCAGCAATCAGAATCATTTTCTGTCTATTGTTATACTAAATTCACATCCTGTTTCTAAAGAGTGAATATTTTTGTGTCTGTTGGCCACCATCCTCTCAGCCTTTCAGTATAAAGCCATGACATTAAATCCTAAATTGCTGAGCATCATTAGATGCTCAGCCATGGTCACATTTCTGAATAATGAATTGAGAAATGTGACCTCGAGGGGCTCATGCGAATGATGATCTTGCAGAATATTGCATTGGCCTTGGACATCTTGTTTCATGGTGATTCTCCCTCTGCCTTTATTTCCCTTTCAGGCATCACAGCCTCCTCAGAGTCCCTGATCTTCGCCGCAGATGGCGCAGGGGAGGATGACGATGAGGGGGTCTCATCAGGGGACTATGGGATAGATGGCAGTGCTCCCTGGTATCTGCGGGTACAGGAGCTGGCACATGACAGCCTGATTGCAGCCACACGGGCACAGCTTGCGAGAGATGCCAAGGCCAGCCAGGATGCCAGAGCTGCAAGTGTCAGTAACGGTAAAGTCACTTTGTCTTATCAACACAGCCAGAAATGTTTGTGGAAGTCTTTCACTCTGGAAAGTAAAGCCAAACAGGTTCTTCATAAGACATATTATGCTCTGATGCTGTTCATGGATATGTGCAGTTGTACTGGCGTGTGCATTGCAGCCAGCAATCCGTAATTTCATGTTTTTGACAAAACTTTGGGAAAAAAACAATGAAAATATGAAAAAACGAAGCCTGTGTATGGGATGCAGTGCATTTCTTGTGGTTGGATAACTCCTTATGTTAGGCATCAAAGACAGACAGAAGAGAAATAAGGTCAGCGATGAGATGAAAATGTAGTTTAATCAGCACTGACTGAAACTGTGTTCAACACTTGTCATCATCTCTAAATCAAAATGAATTTGTTGCTTTGTCTAGATAGAGATAGAAGGCTGGTTGCAAATATCCAGTGGAGTTGTAAATACCACATTATCGTCAGACAGCATGATCATGCTGCAGTACATAATGGTGTGCTGTGTCTGTGATGATTTAATGTTCATTTAGTAATATGGCTAATGCAGACCTGAGGGATGGAGAGAGGCTGCACGGCTGCAGTTATCAGAAAGACAGACACGGGTTAGACAAGAGGAAAGATGAGCAGCAGCAGCAGAGCAGTCACAAAAGACTGGACAGGGAAGAAGATAGACAAGTGGTCAGGTAATCAAGCAACAGCAAACATGTTCTATGAAGAATAGTAGAACAGCAGATGGTTCTGAGTAGTTTGACGTTTTGGAAAATATGACTATTCACTTTCTTGGCAAGAGTTGAATAAGAAGATCAATACCACTCCTGTTTCTGTATGCTAAATACGAAGCCATAGCCAGCAACCAGTTAGCTTAGCTTAGCACAAAGACTGGAAACAGGGGCAAACAGCTAGCCTGGCTCTGTCCAGGCTGTGGTAACAAAATCCAGCTACTGATTCGCATGTCTTATTTGTTTAATACAAACAGTTAATGTGCCAGACTATGTCTTGGCCAGAATTGGTTGCCTGGCAACTGTTAACCAAAATGCATTCAAGTAGGCTAATGGATACAAACTTTTATACATGATACAGCCCAAACTTTAGCGTAGGCCTATAGCTCTCCTCACACCTCAAATGACAATATTGGAAAGACTTTAGAGCTTTTCATATTCTCTGTCCTCTGGTGTAGCTGAGACCTGACACAAATCTTAGTACACTCAAATCACAGCTATCAATTTGTGACCCTGTCTAAATACTGTAGTGGCACCATGTTTGATTATAAAATATCCATATCCATGTTTGATTATTGATATCAAATAAAGCATTTAAATAGCATTCAATTCAATTCAGGTCACTGAATCTGACAGGTCACAGAATACAGTGTAACACTGGCTTACATGTCATGGACAGAAAATATTGAACTCTTCTTTAAAAGCGATTCAGATGATAAATGAGCTTCTACTGTGGAACTTAGGACAAGCCTTAAAGGATGTTAAACAGTCCAACATTATTTTTATGTTTCCTCTGCTTTGATGGTTGAGAGTCATTTATGCTCTCTTTTTTTTCTTGCTAAAATCATGTCTTAATCTGTTGCTTAGTGAAATCTACCCACACCTTCATTTTATCTTACTGTAAGGCCTCTACTCTCTTAAGGCTGAGCAATTTTGGGATGAAAATGACCAACTTGAAACAAACAGATATCTTTGGTGTGTCTCCAAAACGATGGTCCTACGTTGCACTGTGAGAGAGGTTCGAAGATGGCCATTGTTGATAGCCTGGGACAAAATACTGGCAGTGTGAGAAATGTAGGGTGACCAGCTTACAATGTGACTGCTGCTGCGACCTATGTCTACCAACCAACCAATAGGAATGCAGCATGAAATGAGGGCTATCTTTATGAATGCTAAACAACACTCAAGCTATCTTTGCGAAACTGGCATCCCAAGTTTGCCTCTTTTCCCGAGCCATGACCTGTCCACATTTTCCTCCTCCTCCTCCTCTTTGGATTTTTTTCCATACACATAAATACCACCAATGCAAGAGCTTAGTTCTTGCTTACTTTCATTGTTTACCACTATAGCGGCAGAGATGGGTGACGCACACGGATGATGTTTTGTTCTTGTATATTGATTGTGTCATAGCCTACGATTCAGGTGTAAATTATTGTACCGTCTGCCTACATCAACCCTGATGTTGTACCCAAGTTTATTAGATCCATGTTGCACAGTGTGAGCTAGAATAAACTTATAAGACTGCTGAAATCTCTCAGTCTGTAGGCGCCTTTAGACAAAGATGTCTTTGCTGCAGCACACAGTGCCCCAGCAAGCTGTTGACCCTCACTAGGTGTCAGGACTACATCACAGCCCATTTTAACTTCCCTCCACAGTCAACCTGATAGATAGAGAATTTAGCCATGACATTTAAAGCACTATGACTCCTGGCTACATTTCTGATCTTTGCACCCCTCTGAGTCGAATTGCAGCTGGAGGTCCTGGTTTAAAAAAAAAAAAAAAAAAAGAGTGATACCTGAGTGAAGTTTTCTTTCCATCTTATATGGTCCCCAGTTTACTTCCTCTCATCCCAACCCGTTTCTATTTTTCATGGTTTATAATTATCTACTTCTGTCTCTTTATTGTACAAGTTGCTTGTTTTGTTTTTTGAGCTATTCTCATTTTTGTCAAAAACCTTTTAACGATGTTAAAAATGATTTAAATCAAGATAGAAAGAAGATAAAATTTTCATGTGTCTATTTTGACACATGGTTGTGGAGGAAAGGTCCTTCAGTGCATCCTCTCCTGATGCTAAGGAGATACTGGATATAGTTTCCCCACAATTCCTTATTTAAGCATTATTCAAAACACTGTGTTTCAGACCAACCTTGTGTAATCATGTAACCTAGTTTAAGCTCAGTGGGACTATTAGATGTGTTCTTTTTCAATCTTTGTGTGATTTCTCCACATTATATCCTTGACCTCATTATATTTCCATTAAGGTCAAGTAGGAGTCATTAGCAAAGGAAAAAGGACACTTTTTTTTTTTTTTTTTTTTTAGACCACGTGGATCCAGCCCTGGATGTCTTTGACATGATCTCTCCGTCAGCTTATTCTGAGCTAGTGGACCAGTTAAGAGAGGGCTTAAAATACTTTGTACATTGTTAAATGAAATGTCTGCAGCAGAGTGAAGCTGGTTTCACTGTGAGACTAAAACTCCTCTATCTGTGTCACTGTAATGGCTTCCCTCCTACTTGCATTAGATCAGACAAGTCTCCGTCAGCAGTGGGGTATCCGTTATAGGTGCGTTACTGCTGGCACGCTGCAAAGCAAATTTGGACATTTTTAAGTCATTCAAGGTGGGGAGTCGTAGCAGGTTAAAAAGGAGTGACTGCATTCAGCTTCAGGTTGTTTTCTTCTTGCTGTGGTTGCTCGGCAGGTCTCAGTCAGTATTTGATGATTTTATTCAGCCGGGCTCCAGAGGCCGGCCACCTGGCACTCCTGGATTGTTTTCTGCACAGCCTCGCTCACTCTCCTCTTCTGGTTGCCTAGGTGACCACACACACAGTTTGACAGCAGACGGGGACAAGCGAGAGCTGCCGTCTCGAACCAGCCGCCCCCTTTCCAAGCAGATCCTCCGCTGCTCATTTGAGGGTTGCTGCAGGACGTTCACCTGGCCGGCTCATCTCAAATATCACCTCAAAACACACAGGTAACACATTTACGCACAGCTGTGGAAGATAATGGAGTCAGGCAGTGGTCCCAGCAAGATGCCATTGCCAAAGCACCAATATTCAACCCCGTGGCTAATGTGGATACATTTTCCAAATTGAAAAATAATAATAATCTAAGTTTGCAGGCTAATAGAGTTTCCAACTTTTTAAACAAATCATTATACACTGCAGCGATGTGCAGTCCAATCTTAGCTCCTGACTGCAGGCATTATATCCAAACAACTGTACCCAGCCCACATGAGCTTACAAGACACCACAAATTTATATAAGCTGGAGTGTGTGTATACATTTTTAAATAAAACTACTAAAAATGTCCAACAATTAAAAAAACAAAAACAACTATTAAATAATTATCACAATCATATTTTGCAATCTTTTGTTGTCTTCAACAAAATTGATACTATCTCTTTCATTTATTGTATAATACTGGAGATATCAGAGAAAAAATTTAAATACCAACCTTGCCTTCTTTTCCAGGCTTTTGAGACCAGCTTAGTTTAACTTTAACTTAACTTAAAGGATCACACCTCAGGTAGTGGTGTTGGGGTAAAGGCAGTCAAACAGGAGAAACATAGCTGAGACTTGTACTGCATGAGTTCTGTTAACATCACGGTAGGAAATATATTTATGGTTGCCCTGTCTGACCTTGTGGTTGGCTGTTGTAGATGAAACATACACAGGAGACACCGTGGCATATTTGTTTGGTTATCTCGGCTCCCAGGAATGACCGAATGTTCAGGTGCGGCGCAGAGGGCTGCGGGAAGAGTTTCTACGTGCTCCAGAGGCTGCAGGTTCACATGAGGACTCACAACGGCGAGAAGCCCTTCATCTGCAAGGAGAAGAACTGTGGCAAGAAGTTCACCACTGCTGGAAACTTGAAGAACCACAAACGCATACACACAGGTGGGGAGCAGGAGGGTACCTGCCTATAAAAGCCCAAACATGCTGGAAGTAATAACTGACTCAGGCCATTTGACTCTGCTCATTTAATGCTTCCTTGGTGCAGTCAAGGCAGGAGATTTGAAGAGTCAGCAGCACCGGCGCCTCCATTTCACTGCTGCAATGAGTAACAGTTCTCTGTCATATTTTATTTAGGGTGACATTAAGATTTTTGATGGCCTGTTCCACAGTTGTCTTCTTCTGTCTAGGGACCAGTTAGCCTAGACCAGCTTCACTCTATAGTGTTTATATTTTACCCATATGTCAGGAAGAACAGCTAGTTATGAGCTATAATATCACTTACATTATTTTTTTAACATTGTTCTGTGTCAAAATACGTCAGCTGTCACCACAAGTTTTGTAAACAAAAAAAAAAAAAAAAAGACGCTGCAATCAACACTTCCAGTGTTTTGGGCCATTGCAATCAATTTCAACACATGAAGTGCAATTCTGCCATAATAAGTTTACTACATTAGGTCTTTATATTATGGAGTTAAACAATGTGTGTGTGTGTGGGGTGGGTGGCTGTTTCCAGGAGAGAAGCCTTTTCTATGTGAAGCAGATGGTTGTGGGCGATCCTTTGCAGAGTATTCCAGTCTACGAAAACACATGCTCGTACATTCTGGTGAGTGGGGGCAGAGTGTACAGCTGAACAGCTGAGCACTTTTTTGTAATTAGTGTGCTACAGATATAGTATATCATCATGTGCCTTGAAGAAATGCATTTTCTGTCAGTTCAGAAGGAATCGACTTGTAGTACATCTGTTTGTGTTTTTGTGTGTGTGTGTGTGTGTGTGTTTCAAAGGTGAGAAGCCTCATCACTGTGGTATCTGTGGTAAGACCTTCTCTCAGTCCGGCAGCAGAAATGTCCACATGAGGAAGAGACATGGAGAGGAGGGGCTCAGCAGCGAAAGCAGAGAAACAGGTCTCTCTCTCTCTCACACACACACACACACACACACACACACACACACACACACACACACACAGAGAGTGTGGTAGGTGGATATGCTAATCCTTGGATTATGTAGCTTCAAGCAGCCCATACATTTTAAAATGTGCATAGTGTTGGTCTAAGTTACGTTTCTTGAATTATTAATGACTTTTAGCACTTAAAAATTTATCATTCAAATTTTTATTTTTCAGGGCCAGTAGCTGAATTGTTTGAGACTGCTCATATCTTTAAAAAAGCAGAGACAGCACAATTCTACCACAGAAACAGTCCTGTTAGGTTTCTTTTGATGGGGTCAGATTCATCTGAAAAGTATGTAATCTCCAAGTTAAAATGGCACAGTGATTCAAATTCATGTCTTCAAGCTTCTCTTGCCTCATTCAAATGTCTTTTTTTACCTTCACCTCACAAATTACTGAGATAAATGAGTGGATACTTGAGTAAATCTTCTGCTGCAGCTGTGAGAAATTTACTCGAGTTCACTCCTGCCTCTATTCTTAGTATCAGTTTCAGTACCTCTTCAGATGAGAAATGTCTCTCATTGAGCTCTTTACATTCCGACATATGGTCCAATTGTACAAAATCAGCTTAAATTAGTTTTATAGCATGAAACAATGAAAGCAGGCGGTACGTTTGCCTCCTTGTCACATTTCTGTAGCAGTGGGGAAGCACCGCAGCTGAATCACCACAGAAGAAACGCTGCCAAAGCTCTAATTATAAACAGCAGATTTATTCGGGTCAGCCTCCCCAAAGAGGCTGGTCTTTTGTAAAAGCGAGGCAAAGGAAGATGCAGCTTCACAACAGAAGGGTAGTTTCTGTGTTATTTATACATAGAGGAGTTACTGGTTGAATTATTAAATCGCCTGTGTTGGAATGACTACAGAACTTAAAACAAAATAATTCACAAAGGGGTCAAAAGGTAACTTATGAAGTTAGTAATAATGAGCAGATTTCAGGTTTGGACATTGATTTCTCAGACTTAGCTTCTAAGTTGTTGGTTCCTATGAAGGTGGAGGATCGAGTACATCATGTGTCACTCTCCAGTTTATAATTATTTCATGTTAAAGTGTGGGAAAGGAAATGTAAGTTATTTGTTTGCCACCGACAGGAGAGGCTCTGACACAAAGCAGCCTGCTGGAGGCAGACGGTGAGAACGGAGATGGTTTGGTCACCATGACAACAACCGTGGAACCCATGAATCTTCATCATGCCATGCTGAGATCACCAGGTAGGTGTTTGTACATGCATGACTGTAATATATACAATGTGAAAAAATAACAGAACATCTCACAATACAACAGCCCTGCAGTAAACACTCATTTAGCAAAGCTTCTAATGTTCTGTAAATGTCAGAGGTGCTGAGTCGACCTGTGGTGTTGCTAATGCTCTGTTTAGTGTTTTTCAATCACTTTGTGACGCTCAGTCTAGGTCTCCTGTCTTTAGCATTGGTTGTCTTGGCTCAGACTTATTTTTCATAAGCACAAAAGAATAACTGATGTGACATGTGAATTGAACCGCCTTTGTAATGGTGATGTAGAATAGTTGCTGCCTATATTTATGGTGAATCAGTCGTAAACACTACATTGTGTGACATCACCAAAAAACGTGACCGACACCTTTGACAGTGTTAACAAAAAACAAACGGCTTTACTTAATTGTTGATTACTGCCAGACTTCTGCAGTGTAAGGTGTTAATACAAGGTCAAACTGTCTAATCACGAGAAACATATGCCTTCACCAGACCCCCCTCCCCCAGCTTAGTGGGTCACTTTCAGTATTAGTGTCGTTTTGTACATTAAATATTGGAAGTATTTAATGTATTCACCTCTCTTAGACTTTGATTACTTTTTAAAGGTTCTGTATTACAGGGGTTTCTTTGCTTGACCTTTTGTCAGCATTTTTCATTAAAACCAAAGAGCATAACCAAGTGAAAGTTTTCAGAAACTCAAGGACAAATGTGCAAGTAAAAAGCGTTTTCCCTGAAAGTGGTGGGTTTCATCTCACAATTTTTGTAAGCTGGACCTCACTGTAGATCCATATAGGTTGACTGGCATCTTACTATAAGGCAGCATTCAAGTCACCAGGTGGTTTCTCCTTTGAACTTAACTGTAGTGATGTCTCTCCCTCCAGGCTCTGCAGACTCAGTGGTAGTTCTGTCCCAGCCACATGAGCTGGTGACCATGACGACCGAAGGCCATGCATATGGAGAAGATGTGGTGTCGCTGCTGTAGTCTGCCGTGAAAAATGCCACACACTGCCTATTTCAGCAGCACTAGACTCAGTCAGAGTACTAAACATAGACATCTATTTGTAAATAGATTAATCACTGACTTTAACCCATGTAGATATTTGTAATTAGCAACCAATGATGGTTTTATTTTGACAAGTGTGAAAGGGCAGAGTTTGTACAAACAACCTTCTTTCTCAAGTTTTTGAAAATAAATACTCCCAAAGAAATACTGAGACGGGTTTTAAAATTTTATGATAATATAATAACCATGCATTGTTCTGTGCACTCTCACTGTAAACAGAAGTCTGAGGTTGAAATGCAGTGATGGTCACAAATGAACAGCGAGTGCCACTTATTTTTAACCAAAACTTCAGTGGCTAATATGATTGACTGTACAAATTTAAATGTACCAGACACTTGTATACCCCATTATCTTTGTTAGTAATAACAAAACACTTGCCACTGAAAACTGCTGAAGCACAGCGTATCATTACTGCATGTAAACACTGGTCTTGCACAGCACATCCAGCCTAACAAGCCAGGCCACCATGTTCATGTATCACCCTGAGTAAAACACAAAAACATTTAATCTCAAACAAATTGTGTATCCATTAATGTCCAAAGCTGCATTAACCGAGTGTGTTATTGGTAACATCTTTCACTCAAATGTCAACCTCCAGTGCTTCACTTGTTCTCTGAGTACGGCAACACATTGTTTATTTACAGCTCAATATATTAACACTGGAGAATAATTGCTTTTTAAAAAAGATTAAGAATTACTCGTGGTTAGTTCTGACCCTATGAAACAAACAGCAGATGTCTGGGGCTGTTAGATAAGATAGTGTCCATTACTTGTTGTGTTTGTTATTGAGCACCACCTAAATCAGCAGTGTTTGTTCCTCAGTGGATCTTCAGGTTGTGGAAGTGGTCCAATGTGGCACCCAGAGCCCAACTTGCCTCCACGTTGTTCACTTTCTTGGTCAACTGGGAGGGGACAAAACACCAAATCACTCAAATGCCTTTTGTATTTATTGAAATAAAAAAGTAACCGAATTTGTGTGTCAAATTCTCTTTTTTCATTCACTTTTTATGTCAGCAGGAATTGTTTTCTTTATTATAAGGTCTGAGGCATCACTCCTTTGAGAGGTCAGGGGTGACAGAAGGGTCAGACCACCCATCTTTGCAATTACTACTCTGTCATTGTCTCCTTATCTAGGGTCAATTAAAATGGTAATGACAAAGTTATTTTAGACTTAACCATGCTTGTGTCTTTGAGTGGACAGATTATGATTCATACAACTACAAAACTTTCTACATCAGTAGTTGATTTTATAATGTCTTGCAACCTTTTGAAAAATGTCACTCCCTGTCCATTTCTCCTGATGCATCCTTATATGCAAGGTCACAAACCCTGTTGGTTGTGTTCTATAATACTGCCTCACCTGTAGCACAGTGCTCTCCTTGAAGCCAAACCCATCCTTGAGCAGACAAGTGATGTAGGTCATGTCCATACACAGGAAAGGGCTGATGGAAGGGTACTTGGTCATCTTATTGCACACTGAAGAAAAGGAGAACCATGTCTGTTAGGTTTGACAACCAGCCATCAGTATTCTGCTGAGAGGATGAGGGCAGGATTTCACATAGCAGCGATGACACACGTCCAGACTATTGAGATGCACACTGTGTCTCAAGTACAGGAAGCTGCACATCCGTCATAAGAACGATGAATTGCTTTGCTCATCTCACCCTCTTTAGCTCTCTTCTTGAAGTCTCTGACCTCCAGCATCCCTCCATGGACCCCATCTGCAACAGAGGGTGATTGGGGTCATCTTACTCACATTTAAATGCTATACCATTCATTACAAGAGCAGATTTACCTGCATATTTCCATAATAACTGATAATAGAGCTTGTGGCCTTTGAGTGTGGACTGGCAGAGGATAGCAATTTCTCTAATAACTACACACCTATAGCTCATCAAATCCACTGAGACAGGTGCAGATGACTCACATTTTTCCCGCCTCTGTCTAGCATAGGAATGGGTAATAACATCCTGCTGGCTCTGCATAATTATGTAAGGTGTGTACTGAGGGTGTGAGGGTGTGTGTGTGTGTGTGTGCGTGCGCTAACCGATAAGACCTGCATCCACAGCTCTGTCAAAGTAATAGGAGAATGCATAGAAAACATTGCTGTCTTCAAGCTCATACGGCTGATGAATGCCCTTCACCACCTTAAGTACTTCTTGATAACAAAACTTGAATCCTGCATAACCTGCAGAAGAAACAGAAGAAGTGGTGTAAATTAATGTAAGCATTTTATGTTGGAGCAACATTATGAAATGATGCATAATTCAACTACATTTTAATGGGCTTTTCTGACATTATTAATGTTTTTCTGCCATCAAAAAACTTCCTGTCATGTATTTTGCACAATATAATCCTCATTTACGTATTAACACCATAACCTAATTTATCATTTTTTGGTTTAATCAAAATTTAAAGCAAATCAAAGGTAAAATTTGAGGTATGTTTAAAAATGTTTGTCCTCAACAAACTGTAGTTTAGGATTTATTCTTCTCAAGATGGATTATACTTCAACAGGATCTTACCCTCTGGGTCCCCGCTCACATGATAGGTTAGCCCTCCAAAGCTCCATTCATCCCTGAACTTTTTTGGCAGGCAGGAACTTTTAAAAATCCGCCACTCCAACCCTGTGAGAGCACAGACATGACTCGCTTAAATATCTTAACTATGGGGCAATTTGTTTCAATATTATTTGTGTGAATACATAAATAGTCTGTGTGTAAATGTGTAATCTGTAAATATAAAACACCTTCCACAAATACAAAAATTTAAATTGCAAATTCACAAAAATATATTGCAAATATAAAACGGATTTGCAAATACACAAACAAATTCCACAAATAAAAGAAATATCTGTGAATACATTCAATTAATTTACAAATAAATGAAACGCATTTGTGAATATCTTCCTAACATTTACAACTTTCAAACAGACATTTGTGAATCATTTTTCTATTTCGTGAGGCAAAAAAGCATTTGTGGATCTCAATTCTACGCTTGTAGGTTTCAATTTTACACACACTGAGTTTTGAAATAATCTTTCCGTCAGTCTGAACCAAAATCGACTTGGATCACTTGGCCACTTTCGGAAAATAAGGGATCTCCTGCTGACGACGCCATTTCGGCTTTGCAAGGTAAGAGCATGTAGTCTTCTATGTGTTGTTTTTTCCCCCAAATACTGGGCAAATGACATGCACTACGTTAACGGTTGTAAGATATAAAGTGACTGCATTGCTGTGCTTACTATGACATTTTTATGACCTTTTAAGCCTGACTACACTATACTATGACTTTTTTATGCCTTTCTGTACTATGACATTTTTACGATTTCCTATGCAATAACGTTTTGATGCTTTAATAAACTATTACTTTTTATGCCTTACTATACTGACATTTTTATGACTTTTTATGCCTTACTATGTTATTATATATTTTTATGCCTTACTATGATGTTTTCATACCTTACTATACTCTGAGTTTTTCATGAGTTTGTATACCTTACTATACTATGAAATTTTTATGCCTTGTTATGCCTTACTATAATGTTTTTATGTCTTTCTATTTTGTTTTTATGCCTTATTAAAGTTTCACTTTTTATGCCTTAGTATACTATGATGTTTGTATGCCATACTATTCTATGACATTTTTATGCCTTTTTATGCCTTAGTATACTATAACTTTTTTAGCCTTACTATACTATGACTTTTTTATGACTTACTGTACAATGATGTTTTATGCCTTACTATATTATGACTTTTTCATGCCTTACTATGATATGACTTTTTGGCCTTACTATACTGTAACATTTTATGCATTACTATACTATGACTTACTAAAAACAACACATAGAAGACTATGTGCTCCTACTTTGAAAAGTGGAAAAGGCGTCGTCAGCAGGTGACCACGTGTTTTACAGGAGTGGCTGAGTGATCCAAGTCGATTTTGGTTCAGACTGTAGTTTGTTTCAAAACTCTGTGTGTAAAATTTAAATTAACAAGCGTAGAATTGATAGATATTTTTGTGAATTGGCCATTTATTTTTTGTATTGGTGGAAGGTGTTTTATATTTACAGATTACACATTTACGCACAGATTGTTGATCTGTTCACATAAATAATATTGAAACAAATCTACCTCCATACCCAACTGACTCAGAACTCGGATCGTCACCAACATTTCAGTGATTCATCTGAGGGTCTCATTTGAATTGTTTATCAGAAAGTAAGACTTGACGTACATCCCACAAAAGCGTCTTTTTGTTACATCCTTCTCTCGATATTTGGAAAAATGGGCAGGAAAGAAAAGATTAGACCCTGCTTGAAGAAGTAACTCACTGTTGTACCTCAGTATCCTTTAGAGACATACTCACACTCAGTAACCCACAGCTAATGGCAACAAAGCACCTTTTCTTCATGTACAGAACATTACCTTCTGCACCCAGAGCTCCAAGTGTGGCCAGCCGTGCTGCCATCAGTCCATTTCCCAGGTAACTGGATGAAGTCAAAGGGTTGTTATACAGTTACAAAACCAACCAGGAACAGACTGTGTACATAACAAATAAGTCATTCTGAAAATAGGCCAAACAAATGGTGCCTGCCAATTATTCACAGCCTAATGACTAAACAGATAATAGAAGTTTTCCTAATTAAAAAAAGATCCAAGTGAAGTTACAAAAACAAAGTCAGTGGCACTGGAACACAAAAAAAAGTCAAAACCAGAGGCCAATTTAAAAATGTAAAAATATATGGAGATTGACATTAAAAGAGATTAAATTCAGGAATTGATTTGACACAATCACTTTTAATTCAATGTAGACTTAACGCGTTTTATGAAACATGTATTAATTATCTTTAATTATCTATTAATTACCTGTAAGTGTACAATTCAAATGTTGAGTTGAAGATGTCGAATCTGGCAATGTAATCAGTAACAGGAACACTTTCAATGGTTTTCTAATGTGGAAGATAGAGGACATTGTGGGTTATTAATCAACAGTGTTAAATTTAATTTGAAGAGAAATCACTAAATATGCAAACAAACAACAGACCCTGAGTTTTGGCAGGAAAGTGATCTGCGTAGATCCTCCTCCCAAATCCAATATTCCAACTGTCTTCTTGGTTTGTGCGTTTAGGTGACCTGAAAACATTTCCTACTTTAATCCAGCACCCACAACAGAGAAGAGCTAATCAGTTGTACCTCAGATGATATCTTCAAAAGACCTATTTGGCACACACGTGCAACTCAAAAGTATAAAATCCAAACACTGAGCCTGATAAAGATCAGAGGAGTCCGCCTTAGGCAAGGTGTACATTCAGCCTCTATTTGTGAACAAGGATCTATAATAAGAAGCTGACAATTTCAGACACTAAGTTAAATTTGGACATACAGTAGCTGAAGGAAATATAAATTAGGAAAAATATTCTGTGTTACGTCACAGACAGCACTTACCTGTCAGAAAGTTCAAAGATATCCAAGCCAGGATTCCTACATGTACAAAGTTAGCAAACAAGAAACAGAAAACTGTCATTTCAGGGGGAACGCACAAGTTCATGTTAGAAAGGGTGATGACAAATTTTAAACAGAAATTACAATGGTCACAGCAGCATACAAACACATGTGCATGTGTGAGTAAGAGCTGTAATTGTTAAAAAAAAAAAAAAAAAAGAAAAAAGAAAAAAAAAAACAACTTGAAATGCTGACAAATCAATTACACTGGCACAACAGACACTAACATTTTCCACCACATAATTACAGCCTTTCAAGGTCACAACGACTTTGTGGTGAAAAGCAATTTAGTTTTCTTAAGTGTCATCAAAACAGATCGCAATAATCATTGGTAGTTTGGTTAAATATCTGCAGTACACAAAGATTCCTTATAGACATCGCACAGCACACTAAAAGTAGGGCAGAGGGATCACTGATGCCACCTACAAAGTACTGCAGAAAGAACATGAGTGGTTGTGATAACTGACGAATGTGCTGCTTCTCAGGGCAGAGGGTGGGCAGACGTTACCTTCATTTGTGCCATTCATTATGGTGACACTGTTGCCTGGGACCAAAAAAGGGGATTCATCAAACACATGTTGAACCTGACGAGGAAGAAGAGAGGGGGGAGAGGAGAGGAGAAGAGAGAGAGAGAGAGAGAGAGAAAGGGGTAGGGAGAGGGAGAATGAGAGCATGAAGGAAAGCAGCAGAGAAAAGACCTTAATGTTATCTACTGTAATGGTAGCTCATCCAGAGGTGCCCTCCGCTCAAAGGGATTAATTAATTCCCTCAGGGGGATTAATAAAGTATCATTTATCTTCCAAGGTGCCCCAGGGCCATCCATTACTATCTTATCCCCTCCAAAAGAGCCATCCACACTAAGCTCACAGCACTCTGATAACAATACTTTTCCTCTTGTCTCTGTACCACCTGCCATAGCACTGAAAATGTTTTTTCTTTTTCTGCCTGCTCCTTCACTGGATAAGAGGTTGCGCTTTCCATTCAAAGTGTCAGACAATGTAGCACCTAACAACTCCTCTACTCTACAGAATCTTGCTATTGTGTAAACAGTACTCTTGAGATTTCAATCGTACCTCATACCTTCGTATTGGTGCATTCAGTTACCTGGTACAGAAGTGCCTGAGCTTTCTCTGCAGGCAGCAGCCGAAGTCCAGCTGTGGCTCTGAGGAACACAGGAGTCCTTTTCCACTCCAGGCGAGGCACAGTTTTCTTGGCCACCTTCAACAGCATCCTCACAGTGTGTCCTGCCTTTAAACACACAGACAATGCTCACAACAGAACAGCAACAGGAAAAACACTTGTTGAATCTTTACTTGTCATTTTGCTTTTCTCACTTCCTACTTACTTTCATTACCAATGTGATTCCCCACAGAGGGAGGCTATTGGCAGTGATTCTGAATACACTGTAGAGCCAGCAGACCTTTTCTCTTTGCCTCAATATAATTGATTAGATTTGACAATGAACTCACCATTTCAGGGAAGTCAGCATATGCTGACAAACCAGGCTTTATGGAATGGAACATCTCATTGTCCAAAACAGGCAGCTCCTCTAAAAGATACAAGATCCACCCACATCAAATATGCAGAAGCTATTAAAAGCATTAAGAAGCCTAAATCTGCTTAGCATACATATGCAGAATATATCCTCTTATTCAAGATGAGGCATGTTGACTTCAATTTGACAAAATAGGATTATCACAAAAAATAAGTGAATGAAGTCAAGTATCACCTATGTCCCCTGAAGAAAGAGTTTACAAGTTTACAGAGCTGAGGCTATGAGGATAGAGGGGAAGCTGAAGAATGGAAAAACAGCCTGTTACCTTGCTGTTGGCTGATATTTTTAAGTGTTTCATAGAGCGTGTTCATATAGTATCTGACATCTGCACTACAGTATACGTATATACCTATGAATTACCAGGATTCTCACTCTTGATGCTGATATGATGAAATGAGTAAAAGAGCAGAGGGAAGCAGGTCAGAGTCCAGCTCTGCCCAGCATTACCTGAGTCACCCTGGATAAAGGTGTAAACATGGATGCGTGTGCCTGTGCTCCCTGCATCAAACATCACTGCGTAGAAGATGCGGCTGTGGTTTGCTGGGCGGCTGAGGCTGGGAAGGACGTTCCCGATGCTGTTTGTCAAGTCCAGAAGTGCCGTCCTGACCTGGGCTCGGCTCAGCCCTGTGACGGCAAGCAGGGCCAGGAGTAGAAGTGGCACGGTGGGCTTCATCTTCTCTCTGGAGAATAAGTAAAAGACAAGACGTCTTCTCGTTAGAGCTCTGTAACAGTATTATTCAATTGCACTGCTCAACAGAGCAGCTCAAACTGTTGCTGACTAGTACTGACAGATGGTAAATTACAGCATGACAAGCAACAGTGGAGTAAGAAGCAATCAACTTATTTACACCAGGGAATTGGGCCACACCCCGTCAGACCATCGCACCAGCCACAGGGACACATCCTAAAATCAACCTCTCTACCTGCTGAGTCAACTGCTGTAGACAATTTAGAAAACATCACGATTTCACCATGTTGGACTTAAATTGGTGTACTTTAATCGATCAATACAAGGCAAACCAAGCATGTCTCAACATCTCTCTACAAAACTCAGATGCCTAGTGTGGGGAATTTTGATGTCTTAAAAGCCTCAGTGAAGCACTGCTTTGTGGGAACCCCTGCAGATACATCATGATTACATAGAAAATTAAGGGACTTAAGACATTTTTACTTAAGATATTTAACTGCCTGTGAACTCCAAATTAAATGTTAAATTTCAGATAATTTAAGTGGGAGCAAAAAATCATTAAGTTCTACAAATGGACACATGACTTTACAGTTAGAGGATATTATTATTTATTCAACAGTGAAATGTTTTAGAAACTAAGTGGTATCTATAAAGAAGAGTTATGATTATAGACGAGACCATTTTCATTTGTGGCCTTGATGTTTGCTTATTTAAAGCAAATCAACATCATTAAGAATCAAAATACATCACACATAACCTTGCAGAACCTATCATGAACTTATCTTTTGATATTACATCTCTGCATAAATATCTAATGTCAAAACAAGTTGGCACATAATCATTTGATTTGAAAGTTGGCTGACACCAACACCTGAAACCATGACATCAGACACGTGCAACTGTTGCAAAAACAAAACGCTCTGTTTTTATAAAGTTATGTAAGGGTATGTTAGACGGTGCTTTGGTACGGTGTAGGATGTTTGTGTGTTGGTTCTTTCCAGCGACTGCCTCACACGATACTGAACTGTACATTACCAGACGATGGTATTTCATATCTAAAAAACAAACGCTCTTTTAGTGTAGCATCAACAGAAACAAACCAGAAAATGTTAGCATAAAAATCTTCTGCTGTAGTGTTCCTAAAGTTACTAATGCGCTGCCAGTGAACAGGAGCAATACGTTTTATCGGACAGTTTCCTCTGGCTGTGTGAATTTAGGACCGAATTGCTCCGTAAAAGAACAGACTAACATGCAGTTAGTCCTCAGTTCAACAGTCTTTCTAGAAAACAAATTCGAGTTCTGGAAACAAATAGGGGGTATTGTAGCTAGTTTAACCAACCTGTCGTGAACGATAACTTGGCAGACGAGAGTTAACTGTTCGTTAGCCGTTAATGTTTTGAATATCTATAGTTACCTTCACGTACGATAGCGTTCATTCGAGATATATGTTCTACTGTGACTACTGTTCACCAGATTTCTTGGCTTGCCAAAAACATGTACAATAATATCCCACATCCAAAAAATTGTGTCAGTGCAATGAAACTCACGGCAGCTAATTAACAAGCTACTTAGCTAACTTTAGCTGCTGCGCGTTGCAGCGGTTTTCTGAAGTAAAATTAGGAGACAAAATGTCAAAACTACACAGGAAACAAAAAAAATGCAGAGTACAGAATATGTGGGTCAACTTAATGAAGCGTTTTCTGGACACTACAGACAGCTGAGGCTTACCATGATGTCCGACTAGCAAACGACCTCTCACAGCTGACTCCTCGTGACGTAATCGGCAGTGACACAAGTTTTCAGTCTCGTGCAGGGCTCACTAGTGAGGGTCACAATAAAAGATACTGACTTCATAACAGACAGACAGCTCACAGAGAACAATACACAGTGGTGTCAATGGGAAAACATTCAGTGGTTAATTTTCTGCCAGCAGGAGCATTATTTCTGATGTTTACATTTCAGTCAGTCAAAACACTGGGATACTTTCAGCAGCGAAATTATAGGCTGTGCATTGCTGAAGCAGAACAAGTCAAGTTCAAACATTACCACCTACTCTTCAACTGTGGAGCCCATCAGACATCCTTTAGATCAGCACCTTCTTTAATCCAGCATACCTATGTTGTCTTTATGTGGAATGAACAGTACATAAAAACAGCAACAGATCCAGAGGACCATTTTAATAAAACTAATTACAATTCAATTGAACCAAATTACAGTGTCTTTATTCAAAAAGTTAATGACAGACTTGAATACCCTTTTTTTATCTCTTAATGTTCAGCAACAAGACTCAAGAGGAGTCAAGGGGACAAACTTTGAAGTAGCTCAAATACTTTGGATGAAAAGATGTACATAGTGTAAATCTGTTTCATCTGGGAACTTATGATGGTTTTTGAAGAATATAATTTCAAGTTCATGACATGTAAAACACTGCAATCTAACTTCTATTCCATTCATGACCAGAAAAAAAACAAAAAACAAAAAAAAAAAACCAGTATTACTCCGACACTTCAGTATAGAACTGTGAACCTCTGACACACAAACACTAATCCCACAACAGGACAGTATATAGTAGGATCTACATCTAGAGGACATGAGCAGCAACCATTATTTCATCTTAAGTGGAGTAATGGAGTGAATGTGTCCTTGTTCTAATGTAACATCTGTTCCATTTATATCTACTTTTTAACAATCTACCAAGTGCACAGATACACAGAACAAGCCACAGAACCACAGAGGAAACTGGTGGAAGACACTGCTCAGTGGTACAATCCCTGATCATTTTGATTTCTCCTTTATGTTTTAAGAAATGTAATACCAGAGCACATAAAGGATCATGAAAATGATCATGAATGAACAACTGACCCATAATTAAATCATGGCAGACCCGGTCAGTACGAGATATAGTCAGGACAAAAACAGGTTCAAAAATACAACAAACCTATAAAGAGACTCACAGCACCATTCATTGCATCAGTCCAATCCCAACTCCCCTGTCTCCAAATGCAGCGTCGTTTGCATCAATGTGTTTGTGCAACAACAGTGTCCAGGATTTCCAAAGTTCAAACAATCACCAACCCATGATCCCCAGTGTTATTTCTCAACAGTAACAAGGACATGTAACCCCCCCCCAATTCCCTCCTTGGGTTTAAGGCATATGAGAAGTTGAGAAGGTTGTGATGGATGCACTGTCAATTTAGCTTAGCGTCCCATGGTTGGCATGGTAACAGCTGGGCTGGTCACAGTGGCATCCTCAGCCTTCCACTGTGATGTCACTGTCTTGATCTGAGTATAAAACTGGATGCCCTGGTGATAAAGACATAACTGTCAGCTAGCCACTCATATTCAAGGTTTCATTTTGATGTGAAGTATTTTAATGAGCCAACACTTGACACACTGCTTTTGTCATTTACCTGCTTGCCATAGAAGTTGGTGTCTCCTCTGAATGAACCTCTGGAGCCAGTGAAGGAGAACATGGGGAGGGGGACAGGGATGGGCACATTCACTCCAATCTGTACAAACACATACACGAGTAAGAAATGTTAATGTTACTTGGTATAACCTGAGAAAAACTGTGGGAAAGGGACCTTTAAATGCTAATACACTGTGCTTCCACTTTGACACTTTTATCCTTTGTATTCCCTTTAAGAAAAAAAAAAATGCAAGGAAACAGTGATAAATAATTTCTTTAGGAAGGTTCTTGAGATAAAATTCATTCCACACAGGTGACTGACTGAGGACCAAAATACAGCTGACCAGTTATATCTCAATTTCAAAACCATTCCTTCAACAGACCAAAAGCCTTTTTCCTTCTATTCAGCCTTTGGAAATGCATGTCTCACCTGGCCAACATCCACCTCATGTGTGTATTTGCGTGCTGTGGCTCCATTGGTGGTGAAAATGGCAGTGCCGTTGCCGTAGGGATTTTTGTTGATCAAAGAAATAGCTTCGTCGAGACTGTCAGCCTCCAGAACGACAAGCACCGGTCCAAAGATCTCCTCTTTGTAACACGTCATGTCCGTCTGGAAAGAACAGCAGAATGATCACACCGAGTTTCCTCAACAAAAGTGTTTAATGTGCATTTAAGCAGGAAAATCAGACCCAATTTCCAGAATAAAAAAACAATTTATCAACTTCCTTAATCTGGTAAATTACTTCCATCTCCTCAGGATATAGGAGAGCAGTGGAGCTGTTTGAACCTGTGCTCAGCAGGTGTACAACTATAAGACTAACAGTTATGTACATTCAAGAAGTTGTGGGAACATATGATTTGAAATAACAACAAGCTTTGTCAAACACTGAATTAATTCATAGTTCTTGGCAATTCTTTTGTCTGCAATAACTATTTCAACTTCAAAAACAATTCCACAGAAAAAAAATTATTGTAACCCTTATCAAAAAAACAAAGTTTTATTCTTCCTACGAATGTTTTTTGTAAAACTTGTTTTATAAAAGAGTTTCCTGTTAAAAAGCAAGGTCAGCTTTATTTTATTTTTCTCTAAAAACTAGAAAGGCAAACCTTTGGCAGACTGGCAGTTTTGAAAGTAAACTGGCTAGGCTTTTTATTATATTAGACTTTTTAGTGACTGAGACAAAGGGTGCGGGCACAGATCCCTATTTTTCAAACTCTAGTTCTCAGCTCACCGTAACATTGCCCAGGATGGTGGGTCCTACAAAGTTTCCATTTTCATATCCTTTAACGTTGACATGTCTCCCATCTAGAAGCAGCTTGGCACCCTCTTCCACACCACTCTGGATCAAAGACTCCACCCTGGTCTTGGCTTCAGGGGAGATAAGGGGACCCACATCTGCACCGGGCTGATCACCTTCAGGACACATACTGTACATGTTAAATTTCCTTCCACAGAGGACAAATTTTTCATAAAAATACATGAAGAACTAATACTAAAATACATACAATAACATTTTACTTCGTATTCACTTGGTTATTAATGAAATTACCTGCATTAACTCGCAGTGATTTGGAG